CAGTAATTTTTGCCTTGAAGATTTGGAGACACTATCTTTATGGAGAGAAGTGTTACATTTCACAGATCATAAGAGCTTAAAGTATCTTCTGACCCAGAAGGAACTTAATTTGAGACAGTGTCGCTGGTTAGAGCTCCTAAAGGATTATGATTGCGTGATTGATTCCACCCTGGTAAAGCTAACATTGTAGCAGATGCTTTGAGTCGAAAGATGGTATCAGAGTTGAGGTCTTTAATGGCCAAGATGAATTTATATGACGATGGCACTTTGTTAGCAGAATTGCAAGTTAAGCCGACCTTGGTTGATGAGATCAAGCTAAGCAGCCCTTGATAGCTCATTGCTTTCCATCTTTGAGCAAGTAGAGCAGGGGACAAACACAGATTACGCAATTGATTAGGATGAAGTTTTATGCTTTAAAGGTAGATATTGTGTGCCTGATGATGCTGAGTTGAGGCAGACTATCCTTACTGAGGCTCATAGTAGTCCAAATGCTATGCACCCGGAGGAGATAAGATGTACCGGAATTTGAGAGAGAGGTATTATTGGATTGGTTTGAAGAAGAAAGACATATCTGACTTTGTGGTTAGGTGTTTGACTTGTCAGCAAGTTAAGGCAGAACATCAACATCCATCAGGTTGTTACAGCCTATCAAGATTCCTGAATGGAAATGGGAGCGTATTACTATGGATTTTGTTACTGGCTTGCCGATGACTCCTTCGAAAAAAAAGATTCAGTTTGGGTGATTGTTGACACTTACAAAGTCATCTCACTCATTACTGTACGAGTAAATTATACTTTGGATAAGCTGGCAAGATTGTATATTTCAGAGATTGTAGATTGCATGGTGTTCCATTGTCTATTATTTCTGATCGAGATCGATTTACTTCGAGATTTTGGAAGGCGTTACATACGGCTTTGGGAACAAGATTGGATTATAGTACATCCTTTCATCCACAAAACTGATGGTCAATCTGAGAGAGTAATTCAGATTCTGGAGGATATGTTGCGGGGTTGCGTAATCGATTTTCATGGTAGTTGGGAGAACTTGCCGTTGGTGAATTTGCTTACAATAACAGTTATCAGACCAGCATTCGTATGGCACCTATGAAGCGCTATATGGGCGTAAATATCGCACTTCGATCTGTTGGACTGAGTTGCGTGATAGGAAAACGTTGGGACTGAGTTAGTGCGAGAGACGGAGGACACAGTCAGATTAATACGGACCGTCTGAAGAGGCATTGATAGGCAGAAATCTTATGCAGATCAAAGAAGGAAGGATATACAGTTTGAAGTGGGAGATCGGGTCTTTTGAAAGTTTCACCCTGGGAAGAAAGTATTGAGATTCGGGCGTAAGGGTAAATTGAGTCCAATTTATGGACCATTTCGTATCTTGAAGAGGGTAGGACCTGTTGCATATCAGCTTGAGTTGCTTCTGAGCTAAGTCGTATTCATGATGTCTTTCATGTATCAATGTTGAGGAGATACCGTCCAGATCCAGGTCACATTATTCAGGTTTGAAGAAGTAGAGTTGAGACCTGATTTGTCATATGAAGAGGAGCCCATTCAGATCTGGAGAGAGATGAACGAGTTCTTCGGAATAGACGAATTCCAATGGTCAAAGTTCAGTGGAGTAATCGAGGCCCTCAGAAGCTACTTGGGAGACATGGAGTCAATGGAGGCTCAGTTTCCTCAACTATTCTCATAAGGTAAATTTCGAGGACGAAATTTCTTGTAGAGGGGGAGAATTGTAACAACCCGATTTTCAAAATAATATTAAATGAAATTGGAGGTAAATATGAAATGGGTGAAATAAGTGACTAAAGTATAATTTATGAAAATTGTATGCCATTTTTAAAGTAAAGGAAATTCAGGGACCAAGCTCTGAATTTCCCTAAAAGTGTCGGCAAGTTTGTTTAACTAACGTGTTTCTGATTTCAATCAGAAAACACAAAAGCTTTTCTTCAATTTTCTTCCTCTCACACCTCCATTTTCAAGTCCGATCCAAACGCCGTCCGAATTCCGATCGTTGTTTTGAAACCACCGTTGTGTTTATCATCGAGCGAGGAACAAAACCCTTCAAATTAATGAAGCGAAACGCGGCCAAACGTCGGAATTTCCAGTCAAAGTAGCGACGGTTTTGTTAGCTCTATCGCCGAGGAAATCTTAAATTCACCGCTGATCGTGCTCCGTTTTACGACACCTCCCGCACCATCGTGTTCCTTGTGCCGTTCCGAGTTCACGGTTGTCAACCTTGTCGCTGTAGACGGCGGCGGTGAGGTTCCTTGTGCCGTTCCGAGTTCACGGTGTCAACCTTGTCGCTGTAGACGGCGGCGCGTGAGGAGGTGGTGCAGTCAAAGATTCGGCCGATTTGAAATCGAGCTCTCCGCCGTTCAAAATTTTGAACCGATCGTTGTAAGTATCTTGAAATCGCTCAAAATTTTGTCCGCTGCCTCACGCGCCACACGCGCCGCCGCAGGGCGAGTGGCTGCTGGAAACCGGTTTAACCGGTTTTCAACCGGTTCTGACCGGTTTCAACCGGTTCGAACCGGTTTGACCGGTCTGACCCGACCCGACCGTTGACCGTTTACCGTTGACCATTGACCGTTGACTTTCTTTGACCAAAACTTAAAATGGCTTTGACCGAGCATTAAACGACCGTTAATCTTTTCCGAGTATACCTATCTTGATAGTTTTCGACGTGCCGAATCCGTTTCCGTGGTCCGTTTTGTCAAATTCGAATCCGAAGGTCTCCAAATCTATGGTCAAAGTGGTTGACTTTGACTTTGACCAAGAATTTGAATTTTCAAAAAGTCATACTTTATGTTTTTCGACGCCCTGATTTCGATTCCGCAATCTGTTTGGCCAAATTCAGAAACAGAGCGGGTGAAACCAGCAATCAGTAGATTTGTTATTTGAATCTATTGTCGAGGTGTTCCCTATTATTATTGAACTGTTTTATTGGTTTTAATGGGTACACCGAATTCATTGGTTATTGTTTTATGGATGTACCAATTTAATGTGACAATTTATGGATATGGCTGCTATCTAATTTTTGTTTTGAAATGGTATATGATTACCATGTTTTTGGATTTATGGAATTTATGTCACGGTGCAATGAATTTGGAATTGAATTACGATGGAATAGCTCTGATCAAGCTAACTGGGCTAATGACTCTTGAGGGCCCCAAGATGTTCATTAGGTCGGTTTTCCTTGCGTGTGCTTAGGGTAAGCATATGGACTATTGACTTGGGCTTAAGGATACAAGCTTCAGAGCCTATCTTTAAGTCGACTTTCTTTTGCTGTGCATAAAGTAAGCTATATGGAAAATAATTTTGGGAACTATTGATGGTGTACCAGAAAAGGGTTTAAACTATGATTTTCAAAAAGTTTAAACTCTTTACGAATTTGTGAGATTACTGGACTATGATTTGTACCTATTGTGATTTTATGGAAATGTTGGGACATACTGAGTCTAGCTCACCTTTTGAAAATGTTTCCCCCTTTCAGATACTGGTGGTTAGATACCTTGGTTCGAGCACTTGGAGGATCAACATATCTCTTGAAGTAAAGATTGTAATGTTTTTATCTGACAAGTTGACTTTATTTTCTTGAAGTAAATCAGATTGTAATGTTTTTATCTGACAAGTTGACTTTATTTTGGTGACATGGATCTTATTTTAAAATATCGGATTTTATAATGATAACTCTTTTGCTAGTACTGCTCGGTTTATTGTGATTTTGAATTTGAAGACATGTTTTAAATTAAATTATTATTTATTTGTACTATATTTACGAGTTGGATTTTGATAGTATAATTTGTTTATAATTTCATGTTATTTATAATGATTTTATATGATGGAATAACGGTTGCGAAAATGTCTTTAGTATAATTTGTTTATAATTTCATGTTATTTATAATGTGATTTTATATTGATGGAATAACGGTTGCGAAAAATGTCTTTAATAATCATAATGTGATCCACTAGACTTAGTCGAAACGCATAGGCCGGGTCTAGGGGGTTACACTTAAGCCCCTGTAAATGTCACCCCAATAATCAAATTATCTAGTTGGCACTTATTTAAAAGTCTTATCCATGCGACCTCAATGAGTCAATGGTTAGAAATTGTTATTTTTTTAGGTTTCAGGTTTGAGCATAATATATGCAGGAGTATATGAGTATTAAATGTTAAATGATTAAAAGTATTTAAATAGATATTATCTTGTATTTGTTCGAGATTAATAAAAAAATCTTTTATACCTATTCCAATAATAATAGAATGCTTGTTGATCGACTGCCTGGCGTCTTCGTAAGGTGGAGTTTTGCTGACTCATTGATAGGCTACGGAATGTAACTTCTTGTTGATATAATATAAGACTGATGTAGTCATTTTTCTCTAATATATTAAATTAAATTAGGACTGAATCCGGATAAATTACCATTAATATATTACTAAAAAACAGGATAAATTATCTACTTAGTCACATATTTATTACTTTATTTTTATTTTAGTCAATTAATTATTTTTAATTTTTAAAACTATACTTTACGATGTGTAATATATTAAATTAAATTGAGCTTGAATTCGGAATTTTTTTAAAATAAAATCCAAAAGGAATTTAGTGCGAAATACTTATTTAAGTCATCCTTTCATTATTTTATTTTTGTTTTAATCATTCTATTATTATTTTTTTTAAATCATATTTAATGGCAATATTGATGTGGTATTTTTTACTATTTATGTAATTATTTTTTATTATTTTATTTATTTTTAATTAAATTTAAAGTTGATATAAATTTATAACACTTTCGATTATAATTACATTGTAGAAATTTAAAGATTATAACCAAAAATATTATAAAAATATAACTAAAAATGTTATTTTATCAAACCTAAAAAGTTTTCTTGATAAAGTTTTTAATTACAACAAATTTCTATCATTTTTTAGCCTTATATAATTATATTAAAAAGTTTATTTTAGAATTTCTGGGTAGTACAAGTAACAGCGGGACCTTATACGAAACATGGTCTTTACATAGGGTGTCCTTCAGCAGCAGCACCTCCAAATTAGTCCCAAAAACAAAGTAGGCATTCTTTTGTCTGTAAGTTGAAGATTCTTCCCTTTTCCCCTCTTCATTATGTTTTCTTCTTCTTACTGTTTCGCCCTTGGTTTTCAATTTCCTGGCCAAGCAATTAACTTTGTTAATGCCCTTAAAATGTTCGAAGAAATGTTTTGTTCAATTTTTTTAGTCGTGATATTATGGATTGGTAGACAGACAGATGCAGTACGTAAAGCCTTTACACTTGTTCCAAAATCTTCTCAAAGCACATGCATTGGAACGAGGCCGGCTGCTTGGTTTAGATGTTGGTGATAAGTATGTTGGATTAGCTGTCTCTGACCTCGATAATAAAATCGCATCACCTCTAAGGTTTGTGATTTCATATTGTTGCAGAGATTAGACAATTCTAAGTATTTTTTTCAACTATTTGGTCTCCATGTTGGAACAAGCCTTTGAGGGTCTGAGTATAGAATTCAATATTTGTCTCTTTCTCATCAAATATCTCAATATTGCTGATGGGCTTTCTTTATTATGCCGATGATTGTTAACACTTGATATTTAATATCCCTGAGTTATTGATATATCACTTAGAAGATATAGAACCACTAGAAAGCTAATTTATGTTCTTTTAAATATCCGTGCAGTGTTTTGATTCGGAAGAAGATAAATATTGATCTAATGGCTAGTGATTTTCAAAGCCTGGTGAGGATGGTTCAATTTCCTTTCTTTGTTATTGACATTAAAATTTATCTGAGATAAAATTTTGAGAGTATACCCGCAGTCAGGTATTTAAATAGCGATCCACCATCGGAATAGTGGCTTTTATATAGCAGTAAAGGTGTGTCCGAAAACATTATTGCACGACCGTGATACATGCAATGACTGCACTAGCACCCGCTATTGCCGCTATCACAACCGCAATTTAAATCCCTGACTGCAATATTCCAATAATAATTTTACCCACAAAGAGCTACTCATGCCACTTGTTAAGGTTATTGGGTAAGTAAATGTTAATGCCCAAGCTTGTGTTGTTTGTGAGTTAGCAAGCAGCATGTTTGGGGCGGAAAGAGGTAGGGAAGAGAAGTGCCCTAGTTTGTTTTCTTCTTTCTGGATCATGGTATTAGATGGGAGGGTGTCAATTTGTTTACTTTTATCTCCCTATCGTTTCATGGACTGGGGGTTGCATATGTGGGCGTGTGTAAATTTTCTGGGATGATCCTGATTCACCATTCTTGTTTGCTTCGATTGCCGGATTTCTTTTATGAACGTGTCTGCATCATTTAGTTTTGACACCTATGTGAGTGCGTTTTTTTCTGCTACATTGCTGTGTGGAATCTTTTAATGAAATCTTCTTGTCCCTTTTCTTAAGCTTTTGATTTGGGTGCTCCTTTTTTAACCTACAAGGAGTCCAGTATGTGCCTTCATTAGAATGATTTAAGCAGCATAATAATATAGGACTTTTGGGTTAAAACTCATTTAATCAATTTGCAGAAACATTCCACAACAAATTCACAATAGTACTTTAGCTGTATTTAGTTGTTCCAACGGACAACTGGAACAGAATTTGGTTTGCTCCTTTTTTCTTTATATTCATGTCATGGTTGTACCCCATGGAACAACTATTATGAGCAGAGTTATGCTTAGATGATGTTTTGTGTTTTTGAATTTGAGCTATCTTCTTTCATGACCCTTGATCTTTTTTTTTTTGCCTCTGCCTTTATGCAGATTTCTGAACTCTCTGTGGTAGGCTTCATAGTTGGCTATCCATTTGACAGACGACGACTCGCTCCCAATGTGTGTATTTCTCTTATGTTCTATCAGCATAATCTCTAGTTTGTCCCTAAATCTTGCTTTATTTTCATTTTAATTAGGCTTCACAAGTGAAGCTATTCATTGATGACCTCTCAGAAAAAGGAAAACTTGATGGGTTAAAGTATACGTTCTGGGATGAGTGCTTTACATCAAAGGTAGGGCCCTTGCAGTTTTGTAGATGTGTCAAAAAAACTTCAAAAAGTTAATCCGGAAAATTCACAATCTTTAACACATGAGTAGATTAGTAGACTTGAAATATAAGCACGGGTTTGATTCTCTTTCCTTTTCATTTACCTAAAATGTGTTACCGTAAATCCTTGACACAATCATATTCCTTTCATATTTGATTAAATCAGATGAAACCATTAATTCCAGGTTTAGCTGATGGCGACCTATCTGAACAAACTGATTTCTATGCCTTTCAATGTCACTGCTGCAGCTTTATATGACAAACAGTAAAAAATCTCATAGTTTGTATTCTCAACAGAATGTGGAATTGCTGCTAAAGCCTTTGAGTTTGCATCCAATACTAGCGAAAACTATAGTTGATGAGTTTGCTGCTGTTCAGATTCTTCAGGTATCTTTCTTTTGATCCTATGAAAGTTTGTAAGTTCCTTGAGTAACATGTTTAAGCAATAGATATGATACTTTAAACATTAAAACAGCACGAGTCGATTCAAATCATAAATAAAGTACAGCTACATTTTCACACTTCATTGCAAGTTAACATTTCATAAACTGGTAGTCTATTGATTGACAATTGAGGGAAATTATATACAATACCATTACTAAATGTTGACTTGATGATGATGGTCCTAAAGCCTTCTTAGGCGTGTTAAAGTTTATACAAATGGTCTCCCGACTATGAGAAGGTATTTTGTTGAGTCCATCGATTATTAAAAGTTACATAATGGTCCCTCAACTATAGAATATTATTATGTTAAGTTCTCTAACTATTAAAAGTTATAAAATGGTCCCTCAACTATTCATATATTCCAAACTCGTCCTTTGATGTTAAAAAATTGGCAACCGTTTAAGTTGGACGTTAACCTGTTGACTGAGATATGATAAAATATGATCCCAAAACTGTTTGTTGTATTTTGTGGATTGACTATTCGTTTACATTATATCGTCGAGACAATACTTGAAACATTATATCGTCGAGCCAGTGTTTGAAAGCAACAGTGTTGTCAGTAGAAATCATTAAAATATGATTTTATCATATCTCGGTTAGAAGGTTAACTTTCAACTCAGACTACTGTCAATTTTCTAACGAAAAACGACCAATTTGGAACATATAAATAATTGGGTGATCATTTTGTAATTTTTAATATTCCGGGACTCAATAAAACAACATCATATTATCGATGATCATTTTATAACTTTTAATGGTTTGAAGACTTAACAAAGCAATGTCTTATAGTTGAGAGACTATTTATGTAATTTACCCAAAAGTTTAACGATCCTCTTTTACTAAATTTTCTACAACTTTCAAAGAGAGAATGACAAATGATAGTTCTGAGATACTGAACCTATTAATCCGCATTGGTTTTAGTCGGTTTCTAGACATGTTATAATTTCCATTTTCCGATATTTGGCATTTGCAGGCATACCTGGATTACACGAACAAGAATGAGAGTCGAAAACAGATAGGTGAGATGTAACCTGATTTGAATACGCTTACCAGTTCTATCATCTGGTTTATACCAGGATTGTAGCTTTGCAAATGAAAATACTGACGGTGTTTGGCATTGCCAACACTCCAACAAACAGCTTTCAGCCTTGTAAAAGTAATGGTTACACATACCGCTGTTAATTTTATTGTAGTACATTAACGTTATGCATGATTGTTGGTTATAATTTAGACAGACATAAGATTTTGGTGAGCCTCTTTGTGGAATTCGTTTGTTTATTTTTCTAGAGGTGTATGATAGAGGTAAATCTAAAAAAAAGCAACCTAATTTAAAGTTAAAAAACGGAGGAAATAAGCGCGATAGAAAATGTTATCAAAAAAATATAACAATTTAGGTTGAACGAAACTTAAAATGTTACTTTCTTCATAATATTTTCTGTTGCAACAAAAAACATTATGAATAATATAATATTTAAGGTTCAATAAAAAATGTTATGAATAAAATAATATTTTAAATTGTCTAATCTAAAATATTATATTTTTTGATAATATTTTTATTGCGTTTATTGTCACCGTTTTAATAGTTTTACATTTTAAATTTAAGTAACTTCTTAATTTTTCTTTTTTAAAATAAGTAAATAAGATATAAACAGGATCACATCAATAATTGAGATCTCATGACATATAGGATGTTTTTCTTTAGCTTTGATGTGAGCATCATTCTTGAATGTCTAGCTATTCACCGAACTTTATAACTCACATTTGTTGTTTAACATTTTTCAAATCATTACTTGTTGATTTGGGAGCTTGAGAGACAAGACATTTGATAGTGATCAAAGCAAGAAAGCATTTGTAATAGAACGTTGAACTTTAGTTTTGTTGCGAGGCATTATGAGATCCTTAATTGGGATGTATGATGATTTACACTTTCAACTCTTTGTTAGCACATAAGTGACCTTTAATGACTTATGTTGAACTTTGATTCATGAATGAGCAATGGATTGGTGATTGTTAAAGTTGGATCTCACAAGTATGCCTAAGATGACCAAATTATGATTTATGCCTTAATTACATGTCTTGATCATCTAGGCAAGTTACAATAAGATAATATAATATGTTAGACTCGTAATAAGCATGGAATGACTAATAATGTACAAAATGACTACGTAACTTGTGATAAGGTTGACACTTTTATATGCCCTCATGATGTTTAAGCCATTTGAGGTTCTCAAAGGTTTTTTAGAGCTATTGGGAGTTTTTAATTATCGCATTTAATATTTGCATGTTGAGAGGATTTCGAAATCTTTAAAGAGATTCTGAAATCTTTTAAGACATGTAAAAAAAAATTTGATTATTAAAACAAAGAAGTTTCAAAAAAAAAAAATTATGGGGATTTCGAAACATTTGATGAAGTTTTTAAAATATTTAACACACTATTAAAAACTTATCAAAACCTCCTAACCTGATTTCGAAAGTTTGCTCATGTTTTTTAAAAATTGGATTTTTTTACTCTTTTAAAAGTATTTTAAATATTGAAAGAGTTTCAGAATATTTAAAAACTTATTTTAGATATATTTAACTTCTTGAAATTACTTTAAAAATTTGTTTAAATCAAATGTAAATTTAACAATAGTTTTACAATATCTTTTTTTACAATCATCGTTATTCGTTATGTCAAAATCATTAATAAATTTTACAATTTTGTTTTATTTTTAATTTGGTTTATCAAACAGAGCTTCAGACTTATAATCACTTATTTGAATATGATTAAACTATGGTTTACACCCATCTTAGAATAATTAGACATTCTCAGTTTTCTCTAATATTTCAGGTCGAATTTAAGTTATTATATAATATTTATGAGTCAAATTAAAAATTAATTCTTTTAATTAACTTATAACATTATCAAAATAACGAGAAATAATTGTTAAATGATTTAATCATGATAAATAGTGTAAACTATGAAAATAGTATCTTATGTTTTCGCTTTGATAGTTACCAATTTAAAATTTCTATGACCCCTAACGTTATCAATATGTTAGATTTTAGTCTCTAACGTTATTAATATGTTCGATTTTAGTTCTTCAATAGTTAACTCCCGTTCGATTTTAATCTATCAGCCATGTTAAGAATTTAAACAAAAGGGGGTTAACTGAAATTAATAATAGAGATACTTAAACTGAACGAACCGATAATGTTAGAGATCGTTTACTCTTAATTTTTAAATTGGTGACCAAAACTGATAAGACTCTAAATAAAAGAGACTATTCTCATAGTTTACATTAATAAATAATAACATAAATATTTAAAATATATATTTTTGTTAAATTTTAATAATTAAAATAAGATAAAAAAAACAAAAGTAACCTGCGACGTAGTTTATCAAGTCTCCCATCCGTCTTCATTTCCATACACCTTCATTTGAAAAAGATACTAAAATTTCAAATCAGTTTGGCCCTATGTCTTTTCTTTCTTTGTTACGGTCACTCTTTTCCTTGTTCTTGCATTTCTCTTCTCAAAGTTTTAGCTTTAGGCCCGTTTCCATATCTAGGGTGTCTTAGTTTCTCGATGAGTTGAGTTATGAGTGTCAGTGCAACAGCTTCAAAAAGTTTCCTGCTTTGTTCGGTTTCTTTAAGCTTTTCATAGCGGGCATTGTTTTTCCGGCTGAATGGTTAACATTTTTCAATCATGGGTTTTCCTGGAGTGAAAATCAACCTTAAACTCTTGTTTTGTTGCTTTGTTTATTCATGTTTCAATCATGGGTTTATTCATTTACAAAAGGACCCTGAAAACCCCCGTCTTTGAACCTCATTCTGTTTGCTCTAAAATATTTAGGGTTTAGAAGGCGTTACTGGGAATCAGGGATTTTTTTTTTAATTTCTAACTTGTTAGAGTATTTTCTTGTGGAATCTACCAAGACCCTTTTCTGAGGACTTCGTTTCTTGTTGAGCCAGTTTCTTAATTGTAAATGCATGGATGGGAGAGAAGCTATGGCTTTATCAGGCGGGTCAGCTCCTTATTATATTCATACAGGGGTTGGTGGGTCTAGTTCTGGGTCAGTAACACACACTGGTGTAGCATCATTTCATTCTCAACCAGGGTTCCGGCCTTTATCTAACCCTCAGATTCAGCTCCAGTCAAATGTTTGTTCAAACTTTACAGGGGAGCTTAAAAATAGCAGTTTGCCTCGTGGGACTAACATCGATGCCTCCTCCGGGATGCCACCGGCCGAGCCAGTAAAGAAGAAGAGAGGGAGGCCGCGCAAATATGCGCCTGATGGGCAGGTTTCATTGGGACTTTTGCCTATGTCTGCCAAGCCTAAGCCTTCATCTAGATCGGATGCTTCTGGTCAAAAAAGAAACCGAGGCCGGCCTCCTGGGACTGGGAGGAAGCAACAGTTAGCTGCTCTAGGTTAGTTTTTTTTATTATTATTATTTGGATTTTGATGTTTCGATTGTAGCAAATATATTCTGGTAGGAAATGACTATATCTCTTTAAACTTTTATTTTATCGTCCTACTCCGTGATCTGATAGTTTTAGGTTAAAATTCATATTTGATATGGATAATTATGCTATTTGAGCATTCACAGTTAATAGTAATACACCCTTTATGGTTAATTTTAAAGGAAAAAGGTGTTTCCTTTTGGAAGAGATGTATTGCTTGCCCTTACATTATACATCATCATTGTTAAATGAAATTTGTTTCACGTTTTAACCCCGATTCAGTGGGCTGCTTTGCTTGTACTTAGACTGCAAACATGAGTATGGAATTCAGTGCTCGATTAGAAGAGTTTTTACTACATCTATTGCAAATATATGCTGCCTGGTTTCTGTGTTTGTCTTTAAAGGTCCTGTTGTTTTTCTTTGTAGGTGAATGGATGAACAGTTCGGCAGGGCAGGCATTTGCTCCCCATGTTGTCACCGTTGGAATTGGAGAAGTATGATACATCTTTCTAGTTCATCTCACATTTAATACACTTGTATGTATATATATATATGTAAGGAGATTACAAGCATGTCCATCTCCAAATGAAGGGTTGTTTGGGTGATATGAATTAGAAAAAGTATAGATGAAGGGCACTGTATTCGCACATTGTCTTGATAGTTCACTTGAGGGGACTGTAGCGATAACATCGTTCAACTTTTTCAGAAGGGCACTGCTCTTTGCATAATGGTAACTTCTGCAGTGCACTTAACAGTTCACAGTGCCATGACTATTTGTCTATGTATGAATTGAATGTGAGTTGTTGTCCCCACTGCAAGTGAGCATGAGCCTTGTGAATTGGTGTACAGAACCCCCAATATATGGTTCAAATAAACATGAATGGGTTTACACTTATATGATTAGTTGAAAATAGCTTCTGCAATTTCCTAGGCATTTAAAACTAAAGCTTGACCTGGGATTCACATTTCACATTTTTATCTTCTTTTTTCAGGACGTTGTGGCAAAAATGTTGTCCTTTGCACAACAAAGGCCAAGAGCTGTCTGCATCTTATCAGGAAGTGGTACAGTTTCCTCAGTAACTCTACGTCAACCTGCATCTTCAACTCCTACTGTGACATATGAGGTGGTGGCACTTCTGCTCCTTTCGGTTTTTCTGTATTTTTAAAAAATAAAAAAGGTAAATTCAAGTATAGCAGTTTGGAATGTGGCGCGTGACTTCCACGTGCTTCTTCTCCTGTTCAAGTACATTTGGCAAAGTCATAATATAGTATCCTGAACCATGTATTAATTAGGTTTTCAATTTTCTGTGTGTGTGCTTTTTGTGTTTCATATGACTATAAATTGGGTTTTGTGCTTAATATAGAGATGTGATGCATAGTTATGGTTAAAGGTCTATAGTGCTACTTAGTATTCCTTTGTGTCAGGATGAGTTTGGGGCTTGATTTGAATTTTTTATATTTGGTCTTGGGGCTTAAATTAATGGAAAGAGCTATAGATTGTTTTAGCTTGCAAACAAAGTCAGTTCAACCTATTAGCTTTAAGCTAGTTTTAGACCCAATCAACGTTTCATTTCTATAATTTTCCTTTTGAACCTTTAGTGATACTTGTACAGCTTGGTGGAAACTTGTTTGACATGTTTTAGCTTTTCTTAGGGTCATTTTGAGATACTATGCTTGTCGGGTTCTTATTTGCTTGCCGAGGATGGAGGACCACACAGTCGAACTGGTGGCATAAGCGCTGCTCTTTCTACTTCTGATGGTCATGTCATAGGTGGTGGGGTTGCAACATTGGTTGCATTGAGCCTAGTTCAGGTATCTTCGTGTTTTCTCCAAATTTTACTTACGAGCGTACTTTGTTGTTTGCTTATGAGCTCAGCAAGCATTCCTGTATTGTTGTTATTAGCTTTTTCTTCTGAAAAAAAGTCATAGAAAGGAAGATTTGGGCTCAATGGTATAGCATGCTGCATATTACTTGGCTTGTTTTGTCCAGTGGTGTCTGTACTGGGCGAAATGTGCAAGGTTGAGTGCCTTGCAAATTCTTCTCAGTCGAACCCGCTCATTTCAATCGGCACTCACTCTCTTCATGAATTCATGTGACCTGGATGGTGTTTGCACTACGTACATCCGAGCCATTTATGTTGGAGTTGGTTAGTGGAGGATACATTATGCATCTGAATTGTCTAATGCATTGTACAATTTGTGTAGCTAGTTGTTTGCAGTTTTACTTATGGGGGATCCAAAACCAAGACCAAACAACTGGCAAGCCCGCAAGGCAGTAAAGATTCTGCACCCTCCAAGTTCAGCAATAAATCAGCTATGGAACCTTTGGCTCAAAATTTTGCTCCCCCGTCTACGAGCATTTGGCCTGGTTCAATGCCGGTTGATCTGAGATACCCTCACACGGATATTGACTTGACACGAGGATGATAAAGGCACATTTGTACATGTTGTACTGAATCTGTGAGAATTAGTAAAACTTATAGTCCTCCCAATTCACCCAATAGGGGGCAATGGGTTTGTCCTAACCTAAGATTGTAATAGTCAAGTATGGCTGTGTTGTGATGCCATTTTGAGGGCATATTGGTAGCCATTACGGTAATTTAAGTTGACATTTCTGCTTACATACAATATTGCACTCTTAATATACCCATTTGGATTGAATCAATAATTCGCCAAAAAATGTTTTATTATCAAGAATGGACCCAGAAAACAAGTGGAGATGATTACTCTCTTGAAAATTTTAAAACTATCATATATTTTAAATTTTTTATTTACTTTATATTAAAAATATTTTTTCATCCCCTAAAATTTTGTAAATTTTATTCTTTTTAAAATTTTAGAGGTTCACCCCTATCATAATATTCTCATACTATTAAAAAAATGTTAACATATTTTTTATAGTTTAATCCTACTATTTTACATTTTATTCAGTTTGATTATTCAATTGTAATATTTTTATAATTTTCTTTTTCATTAATTCTTTGACTTTTCGTTAATGTTTTCATCAAATTCATTATTTAAAAAATAAAATCATAAATATAGTTTATAATTTAAAAATATTTAATTTATTAAATAATATTCTAAATTTCATCAACACATGTGAAAAATAATACGAAAATATATCTTATATAACTAGATAAAATTATTTAAATTAAATTTTAAATAATTCATACCATAATATTATAAATAATTATAATATTATAAATAATTATAATTAAATTTAAACAAAAAAGCAAATATCTCAACTTGAAAATTTTTAGGATAAAGTTTAAACCATAAAATAAAATTTGTTGACTTGACTAACTCAAAAAAAAATCAGTTTCACACAGATACGATGGAATAATCTCCCCTACTAGATGTCCTTTTCCATGGTGAATAAGATATTATAAAAGGTAAGGTACAACTTCTAAACTGCAGGACAGTCTAGACCATAATTAGGGGATGATGAAACATAAACAGAGATAGAAAAGTCTTTCTATTCATAAAAGTTTCTAATTTATTGACTCTGTGGCCTTCTCCAGTCATCAAATTCAGGCCAGCAGTTTATTTATATCCTTCTGCAAATACAAATAGCAACCGTCGGAAGTTTTCACACCCAACACAAGTAGTAAATATAAGGATAAAGTATACAAATATCCCTCGACCATAGAATATTGTTTTTTTGAGTGATTCAACTATTAAAAGTTATAAAATGATCATTCAATTATAAAACGTCACTTTGTTGAGTTCTCTGACTATTAAAAATTACAAAATGATCACTTTACTATTCATATGTTAACATACTGACTGAGATATATTAAAATTTGATCCCAGAATTTCAAACAATTAACATATGTCAATCAACATGTTAATATCCAGTTCAGACAGCCATCAATTTTTTATCGAAAAATGATAAGTTTATATACAAATGAGTAGTTAGGTGACCATTTTGTAACTTTTAATACTAGAGGAACTCAACAAAGTAACATCATATAGTCAGAAGATTATTTTGAAACTTTTAATATTCGGGAACTTAACAAAGCAGCATCCTATAGTCGGAGACCATTTATGTATTTACCTTAAATAAAAACAAGGATAAAAAAAGAAAAGAATGGCACAGAATGTGATAAGCAGGCCTTACCTCAATGCTAAGAGGAGAAGTAGTGGGAGCATAACGATCAACGACGATGCCTTCCTTATCAACCAGGAACTTGGAGAAATTCCACTTAATGCTGTCCCCAAAAAGTCCACCTTTACTAGACTTGAGGAATTTGTATATGGGAGCAGCCTTCTCACCATTCACATCAACCTGTAATCAAATAATAACATGACGATAATGTCTATAATAATCAGCTCGAACAAAAATGTAGAACCTACAATCCCATGGAGAAGACGGGACTATATGATACAATACAACTTAACTGAAAACACTATTGATTTCATAATTTCACTAAAGCATTAAAAAGGCTGGCACAACATCAGCATTATCACTGACGCATACAGAATAAAGAGTTTTGAGATGATTATACAGTGTTGTCCTACTCTAGGTTCAACTGTGGAGTCTGTTTATGCATCTTCGATCCTTGACTCATCTATGGTTTCCAAGTTTCCAAACAACATTAAAGTATACTACAAGCAGTGATTTCATTCGTATAGCCAAATGATATACCTTATCAAATATGGGGTATTCAGCTTTAAATCGAGTGCAAGCAAACTCTAAGATTTGCTCATTGTTCCCAGGCTCCTGACCTCCAAACTGGTTACATGGAAATGCAAGAATCTCAAGACCTGAACAACACAGTAACAATTTGGAGAAAAATTACAAATCAATTGGTCAAATTACTATTCCTGGAATATTATGAAATAATAAATCTGAAAACTAAAGAGTCGTTAACCATTTTCCATGTAAATGTTCCAGGTAAAAAATGATATGCATATACACATAGGAAGGTAAAAGGATATACATATATATACACATATACACGTACATATAGGAAGGCAAAAGTATATACATACACATTTACATTTACATTTACATTTACATTTACATTTACATTTACATTTACATTTACATTTACATTTACATTTACATTTACATTTACATTTACATTTACATTTACATTTACATTTACATGTAAATGTTCCGGATAAAAGGATATACATATACATATATGTATACGCATACATATAGGAAGGCAAAAGGATATACATATACATATACATATACATATACACATTTACATGTAAATGTTCCAGGTAAAAAATGATATACATACACATATAGGAAGGCAAAATGATACAAAAAGCCTAAAGCAAACCTTGATCTTTATATTTCTCATACAATTTACTCAGCTCAGTGTAGTTGGAATTGGTCAAGCCACTGCATCAATTTTAAGCAGCAAATTAAAAACTTTGTGTAGGCACTAGCAGATAATCTAAATATGTAATCTAATGAAAAAATCTCCTGTTGGGGAAAAAACTATCCAAAATTGAAGGGTACCATTGAGATGCAACATTGACAATCAACAGGACCTTGCCCTTGTAAATGCCTAAATTAACGTCATTCCCTCTTGCGTCCTGAAGAGCCAAAATACAAAAAACAAAACCCATAATCATAGGAAACCTAACGAGATAAAAGAAACCCAGTAAAATAAATACAAGACAAATCAAAATTCATCTATAGAGCATAAATTTGAATTATACCCAAAACCAACCTTAACAGTGAAATCATGAATGGATCCCTTGGAGGATTGACCCGCCATGGTACGATCAAATTCAAATCGGAAACTAACCAGAGATATCAAAAGGGGTTTAATTGGAACTCAAGCAGAGGCAGAACAAATATATCAAGCTTTCTTAAAAAGAGCACAATACAAGTAAAACAATTATCTATGGAGCCATTATTTATACGATTAGTGAATTTGAGTATAAGGTCAAACCGTCGAGTGGATACGCGTTTCAATGTCTGTGAAGATGAAATATACACGTGGAGTTTTCACTTGTTTACACGTCGGATAGTATGGTGCCAATTTGCGTTAGGAACTAGGGGGTAAATTATATTGATAATTACTCTCAACCTTTACATAAATGGTGGACTCATGATACCGATGTAGTATTGATGATATAATATATATTATATCATTTTAAAAAATAATAAAATATGTCACATTATTATTTTAGTAACTTAATACATATTATATTATTTTTTGGATGATATGATACATATAACGTTATTAATTTAACATATATAAAAAATATTATATCATCAATATCGTTTAATTATTAGTCAACTAATGATTTATATCCAATATAATTTTTTGAATAAAAAAAATTAAAAATAGTTAAAATGTTAAAAAAAGATAAAATGATCATTTATGTAAATACTACGGTTTACTTTTATCATTATGTATTTTTTTAATTGATGTTTTAAAAATAATGATTTATCAATTCATAATAAATCTATTTACTTATAAAATTATCATAATATTGATTTTTAACGTTAAACTAATTAATTTGATATCAACTGATCATACAAGATAATCATATTGTGTCACTCCTCTCTTTAAAGGTCTCAATATCTAAAAATCTTAAATTTCATTTCAAATTCAAATAATTTTTACAAGCTTGGAGAAGAATTTCGAAGGGTAAAACAAATCAAACGTGGGCGTAACAAATGTATATTTAAGCTTTTTTTTTCTTTTGTTAGGCTGTGACAGATTTATAAATTTAAGAATTAAAGTTTAATTTTAATATTATTTTCTTGAAAATAATGAGTATGTAATTTTTCTTTATTTTTATTAACAAATCAAACTAAATTTAATCATTTTTCCAAAAATTTTACTAGTTTTGATATGTTTTAGTATATAAAATTTCATTTTTTAAAAATTATGTCAAACATTTAGTTTTTGTTTCATTTTAGTATCCTCCGTTAAAAACTTAATCGACAGGCTCACCGACAGTCGCTTTTACAGTTGTCACATCCATCGGTCGATGAAATCTAGACTTTCCAACTCGCACCTTTTCGACCCTTTAAACACGATTTGGATCTTCGTTTCATTGGGAAAAACCTCAATCTCTCCAAATCGATGATAGACTCGTCGATTTCTTCATCCTCCAATCTCGATGATTCATCGTCCGATGGACCTAAAACTGAACTATATTGGTCGACTCGTCATTATCTCGTAGTCCACCATTTAGAATTGTTATCCGTGCACCAGAGCTATGTCACGTAAGCATGTCTGTTAAGTTTTTAATAGCAAAGTATTAAAATGAAATAAAAACTAAACGTTAGGTATGATTTTGGAAAAAAAAATTAAATAATAAAACATATCAACTAATAGTTTAAGTATTAAACATGTAGTTTACCTTTATTGTTAAGGACGAAACCATTATTCCCATGGATTTTGCTAAGCATTTTATACAGATATGGATCGAAGAAGACAGATGAGCACAGTCGTTTATTGGAAATTTTAAATTAGTATATAGATTTTTTGTATTTTCAATTAGGATAAAGTACACAAATAATCCTTCGATTATAGGACATTACTTTGTTGAGTCATCCGGTTATTAAAAGTTATAATTGTCATCTGACTATTTATATGTTCCAAACTCGTCATTTTCAGGTAAATATATCAAATGACTACCATATCATAATCAACAGGTTAACGTCCAGCTCAGACTATCGTCAATTTTTAACAAGAAATGATGAGTTTGGAACATATGAATAATCGGTGGTCATTTTATAATTTTTAATAGTCGAGAACTCAACAACGCAACGGCCTATAGTTGGAAGATCATTTCGTAAATTTTAATAGTTGAGGGACTTGGACGTCATATAGTCGGGACCATTTATGTACTTTATCCTTTTAATTAATAATATATTTTTAAATTTTATAAGTTCACTCTTTTTTAAAAAATATAAAAGTTTACTCCTAACATAAGATCATGTCCATCCCGATCTAGGGATATTCCAAAACTGAACGTGACATTGCTTAATACAATTTACAAACTTGGAACTAGTTAGTTCCATATTAGAACAAAAAGCAAAAAACTGAAACATGTGTGGCGTGTCATGAAAGAAAGAAAGAAAGAAAGAAAGAAAGATGGAGACAACAATATACAAGAGGCAGTTGTTATTCCCTTTGAAGCAAGTTGTTGATTGTCATGGAAAATGCATCTTGGAATTTTTGAAGCTTGGAATTTGAGTCTCCATACACCAAACCAGGCAATAGTTCATAAACAATGAACCTTCTCATATCCTCTCTCTCCCTCACACTTACCTTCATCAGCTTCTCTACCACATTCACCTTCATCTCTCTCACCTCTTCTTGCTCTATGAACACCGAATATTTGCTATGATCCTCTGGTAAATGCCATGGATATTGGTAGTATGCTGTAAATGGGTCGAACAGAACCGGAATGCACCCCGAAACCAGCGAATCGAATACCGATTTTCTTGTTGGGCTATCTCCTGGAGGTTGTAAGCAGAATTCGGAGTCCATGAAGAGGTTGATGACCGATGCTGGCTTATCACATCCACCTGAACTACAATTTAGGAACCTGCATTTGGTTTCATCTGAATTGCATTGATTGATAAGTATTGACCTTATGTTCTCTGGTGCATCAGGCCTTGCTGCCCCTGCAAAACTCATAAGACTCTTGCGATTCGATCGTATGATCTTTAGCTGCCAATCAGTGATATCGTCGTCTGAATGGGGATGGAAGTAGGTAGGGTGTGGGATTCCAATGTCATTTATGTGCCATGGTTGCCGTTCGATCAACAACTTCATTGAGTTCTGCAGTTGATCAAGCTCTAGCAAACGAGTCCCCCACAAAGCGTCGTTTTTTCGCCGGAAATCCCATGAAATTTTACCCAACACAAACACATGATCCTTCCCGGAGTGTTTGAGCCATGATTTCTTGTTTTCAAGCCACTTGACAAGCTCTAGGCCCAAGCTGTCTTTAACATCATTAGACACATTTTTGAAGTGCCACCTCAAGATATCTAGGCCACCATAATATGGAACATAGAACAGCTTTGCCTCGTTTTCGTCGTAAACTCTGCAAGGATGCTTCAATGCCCTTGTGTGAAATATCAGCTCCAATGCATACTGATGAGTGTGGTACCATCCATTCCCAAGCTCTACAATAGGTTCTCCCATGGCTTCGTTGTCGAAGTACTTGCACAAGTTTGTCCAAGGAATCATGTCTCCACATTGACCTACCAAGTCCTTGTTGAACTTCGATGGCAAATCATACACAAAAATCCCTTTCCCTTCGCACGACGCAGCATGATTCTTGTTCGATATCCATGATCTTTGAACTTGCAGCAGCTTTTCAACTACCGTCACAGCAAAGGCAACTTCTCCATCACTTCCATTGTTGTGGACCCTGTTAGCGACCATCAAATTCGGGTCTTCCCCAACAATACCGACTACCTCTTTTATACTTGCAGTAACATTAGGACTAATTGAACCATCCTTGTTCAGAGCTTGAATTGGGATCTCAAAGTTGGGCTGTGTACCTGCAGAGAGACAGTAGAGGTTGTTGAGCTTCCGCGACGAAACGCATACGTGAAGGAATTTCCCGGAGATGATAGTGGTGGAAGAAGACCAAAGGAAGATAAGGATCAACAAGAAGATTGCAGCAGGGATACGGTACAGAATTTTGAAATAAATTGTATCAGAGAGCTGATGTTGCTTTGTTTCGAACTTTTTGGATGCTTTAGGCTTCTTTTTTAACATTGAGATTGCCATATCTAATGGATTTACCATCAATTCATTGCTTTGGTTCTGGTTTTTCTAGAGGAAGGGACAAAGCTGTACAAATTTGGCATGGAACATGGCTGCACGTATTATGGTTGGTTCCAAAATTGTATGCACGTTTGTTTTTGCAATGATTATTAGGTGCAACATTCATGGGCTGACCAATGCATAAAAATAGTTGTACATATTTCCAATGGTCAACTAGTAGGGTTTTTTTTTATAAATAATTTGGGGTGGGTAAGAAGATAATATTTGTTCATAATCTCCTTTAGTCATTGATAATGCACACACTTCCCTGCAGATGTAACTGCAACTAGGGGTGGCATTCGATCAAGTTAAGTCGAGTCAAAAGATTTCGAATTATTCGACTTGATGAGTCCTATTTTATAACTCAAACTTGATTTTAAATTTTTTTAGTCAAATTGAGTTTTCAAGTTTCTATTTAGATTTAATTATAAATGTTTATAAAATTATAATAATTTTTATAAATATTTAAATAAATTTTTAGAACCATATACAGTACATATATATTTCTTTTTTTTATATGTGATATACATATACCGTACAGAATCGAGTGACTTTACTCAAACTTAAAAATTAATCGACTAATCACTAAAAATTTCAGGTTATTCGAGTTGTATTTTATAACTCGACTTGAACTTGAAATTTTTCGAGTCAAATCGAGTTTGTGAAATTACAACTCAAAGTCAATTTGAGTCGAGTCGAGTTGATTTTTATTTATCATTACCTTTAACCATTAAATTTGCTTGATGGGTTTGGGTAAGAAAATGAGTTGTTCTAATGGTTTAAAATATTTGTTGATGGTACGACCATTATATCTGTATAGTTTTTTCTAATGGTCGAACATGAGTTGTTGTACAGGCATTTTGGATGCTTTGTATGGCCTTTAGAGAGAACTGCTAGTAACATGGGAAATAAAATATTATGCAAAGCCACGATCACATCCTATATTCTCTAAAGGATAATACAATACAAAAAAATAAAAATAAAAATAAAAACCCAAGCTTCATTCAATTAATTCATTTTATTCATAATTGAAAGATAATATATAATAAAATTAGAATTAAATCTCATCCGCAAATAGGGATGGACTAAAGGAGGGACAGGTGGAAAGATAATATCTAACATTTATTTACTTTCTTGATGTTACATTTAATTTTTAAATTTCAATAAAGTGGTATTAAAACTCTCTTCTTGAAGGACTTATAACTATGAAAAATATTTTCACCATTCATCTATGGATTTAAAAACTCTTTGGTTAAAAATCTTCAGGTGACACCTCTTCTATTTTTAAATTTTTTAAGTTACGAGTTCAATATTCATAGGAACAAAAATTCTCTTTCTCTCCCCTTAGAAAGAAATTATTAAAAAAAAACGAAACTCCTTTCGTTGCACTTGCACCAGGAGCTCAAGTGACTTTTAATAATGATTGTATAAATAACACAACATTTGGTCATCAACTTTTCAATGAGGTGCACGCTTAAATAGTTTTCATAGTATAATTTGATAATGGAGATTGTATTGTTGTTAAAGGCAAAGACACCATAGCAATAAAAAGTTTTTCAACTACAAAACTAATCAGAAATATATTTCCATGTAATATAAAACAAAATTGTTAAGTGATAGTCAAATGCTAGAAAAAGGTTTGAAATTATTTTAAATTGTTTTATATTATTTTAACAAATCATAGGTTCTTGATGATTGCCATTTTCAGTGATAATGACAGTAGGGTTACCATAGTTGTCCTTGATGTAATTCATTAGGTTCTACAGACCTTGGATACTATGTGTTGGTAAGGTAGTGTTATGCAATGAAGTTGTTCGTGTTTCACATTGGTAGATATAATCTTGGTTTATATATTTAGGAACTGAATCAAGACTCTAATTTAAGGGAGATAAAATATAATTAACCATAAATAAATAGGGACAAAATATAACTACCATAAAAAATAGGAAAATAAAATCAAAATAAATTAAAATTAAGAGTTTTATCAACTGAGCTAGATGGGCTCTAACCATATTAATATTATTTTCAATAAAAATATCAGATTTTATTTGGTCAAAGGTAATTTTATTTGAATTTAAAATTTAAATTCATGAGATATTTACGAATTTCTTTTAGCCTTTTTCTTTCTGATTTGACTCCGATTTTCAATTATAAAAGGGTGATCTGTCCCTCAATTTTACTTACTCATTTTCTCATCCTCTTTTACACTCCTCTCTTTGTGAACGGTTTTCTTTTCGACGTCTTTTTTTCTTGTAGTGTTTATTTCGGTTAAAAGCATCGTTTTTTTTCCTTTTGAGAAAAGAACAACACTATTCAGAGTTTCACTTCCTTATTTCATGTTTGCAAAATTTAGAAGACTGTTAAGATTGGGGGCAATGTTAATTTAAGAAATTATACTAGTCTAGACATAATTGATTCTTAAGTAGTGACTACATGACACAGTAAATTTATTTTGTTATTTTTCATTTATTTGTTATATTATTTACTAGTCAATGCTACTACCTTTACTTTGTAACTATTTTTACAAATAATTTACAAGCAAGTTAGTTTTACTTGTCGGATTTCATCATCAGTGACAATGTCCGATGGCTTTTAACATTCTGTTGGGGCATTTAACAAATTTTCCACGCACGTTGAAAATATGTCCCTGTGCTAGTAAATAAATCGGTAAAGAAGGCAGCAGCTAGTTGATGCAACTCCAACTGGTTGGTAGTCCATGATCCATCCTCTCGCCTAGGCGATAGAGTGGTATTTCTACGTTTTCGATTTTTGGCATATGCATGGAAGTATTTTGTGTTGCGGTCTTCATGAATGATCCAGTTACACCTCGCTTTTTGCTTGTTCCTGCATTAATTCCAACTTTGTTTTTAGCCTTGCTTCCAACTCCGTCAGGAATGCAAAATTTCTGTTTGTTAGGGCTCTATCGATTCCCCTTAATCGGGCAAGCGGTTCCTGCTTTCTTTTTCCGATCAATCCCACAACCACTTTGTTCCATTCTACTAATTCCGGTGCCAGGTTCATGCGTACATCTTCATCCTTCACCCAGGTTTTTCGAAGTAGTTCTTTAAACTCATGGTGTTGTTGCCATGTAAAGAGAGAGCAGAACGGTTTAGAATGATTTGTTAAGTGAAATGATCAATCAATATAAAACAAAATTGTTAAGTGATGGTCAAATGCTAGAAAACAATTTTAAAGTTATTTATATCCGAATCTTTAAGATTCTAAAATTTATTGTGTTTAAATTGATGATTTAGAATGATGGGGCTTGTTAAAAATGAGTAATGACACTTGGAATTTAACACAGTTAGAGCCTAAAATGGTATAAAAAGTGAATGAAATGAACTTTATGATCCCATGTATTTTGTTGTTATGAAAATCAACATGCATGTGTATTTTGATGTATATGATATGTTGATAATGTGTTAGGGATATGCCTGAGACATTAGATGATCAAGTTAAATTATTTTTTTAAGGTCAATTAAATTATTTTTTATTATTAAATACTGAAAAAAATTAATTTTAATTAGTGAGTATTCCAACGTAGATTTTCTGTATATACAATAAGGCTTTAAATTTAGTAGTGAATATAAAAAAAATTGATTGGGTGGGCTAAAAAAAATCTAACATAATTCATATATTTTTTAATTTAAAAATACAATATCAATTATATATATTTAAACTGAATCTAGAAAACAATTTTTAGGATAAACTACATGTCTAGTACCCCCAACTATCATTTTTGTTTCATTTTGGTCATTCAATTATTATTATTTTTTTCAAAATCATACATAATATTTAGTTTTGGTTTCATTTTGATCACTTGTCATTAAAAATTAATGGTGGTGTTAACAAGTCACCATAAGATAATGCCACATCATCACCGAAAAATAAAAATATCATGTCAGCAGTTCTGTTATTTTTTAACAATGGTTGATTAAAATGAATCTAAAATGTAATGGTAAGTACAAATTTTAAAAAAAATTAATTGGGTGACCAAAAATGATAATTGAGATACTAAACGTGTAGTTTGCCCAATTTTTAACATAACCTTCTATATTTTATTAAAGGGTGAACTACATGTTTAGTACCTAAATTATTACTTTTGTTTCATTTTGGTACCCAAACTTTATTTTGTTTCAAAACCATACATAACGTTTAGTTTATGTTTCATTTTGGTATCCTGCTCTTAAAAGTTTAACGACGATGTTGATGTGTCAACATAAGGTAATGCTACATCAACATTGGAAAAAAATCAATATCAACAGTTATGTTAATTTTTTAACGACATGGTATCAAATTGAAACATAAACTAAATGTTAAGTATGATTTTGAAACAGAATAAAGTATAAGTACCAAAATGAAATAAAAGTAATAGTTTAGATACTAAACGTGTAGTTTATCCTTATTTAAATTATATTCTATTTTTTTTGGACCATGGGGTGGGTAATATCAAATTACTTATCACTTAAACCAACCGCATTCATAATTGTTTGTTTTATTAAACCAAATACATCTATATTCTTTCTTTATTATATTTATAATTGACTTGCATGAAATTTATTTTCACATATTTAATTAAGAGGAAAAGAATAGTCGCATGCTATAGTATCTATGTCACATGTTGATATAGTCGAATGCATTTGTATGTTATTGTGTTGTTTCTGTATGTATGTAATTCTCTTTTTTATCCAGTTATTATTAGGAGGCTTTGGTCTAGGAATGTAGGTTTTCTCCTAATTATGTTGATGTGTAAGGTTTCTGTAAGTCAGTTGAGTAAGTGAATGTTGTAAAGGGTTAATGTTGCTTATTGTGTACTCGGTTGTTTGTCGATAATTGAATAAAATCTTGGGCACTCTTTTCCTCGTTTTTTGAATTTCGATTATAAAGATCTTTAACGATGTCTAACTATAAAAAGTCATTTTTTTAATTACATCCTATTTAAAATATTATTTTTTTATTAATTTTCAATCACATTAATTTCCGTTGTTTTTTAATCTAATTTCACTCTATCTTGATGCCAATCATGTAAATCTGAAACTTGCCTCGATTTGAGATCAAGCCTTTGGCCCATGTGGGTTCAACTCCTAACCCATCCTCATCATAGTTTCATCAATCACCGTCGTCGCCAAAGATTCTACACGTGTAATCCCAGTATCCACATGATATCAACTGCACAAATGGGCAGGCGCAGTAGTTAATCATTGGGAGTTGGATAATCGCGATCCCAACAGATTAAATCTTTATTTATTTTCGTGAAAATGAGAAACACTGAAACCGCCACATGGCTGCGTCGACAGACTCTACGTGGCCTTTGAGTTGACCACTTCCACATTTAATTTCCGCTTCCTAACTTCTTTCCCATAATATCAATATTAGTCCCAGTACTTTATAAAATAATTATTTTACTTTCTATTCTCTTTTCATTTTGACTTTTAATATTTTATTTCTAAAAAATTATTTTTTGAAATATTTTGATCATAACATTTTGTTTTAGAGTAAAATAATCTCTATTTTAGAATTTTAATTATTTATTGACTAACAGTTTTATTCATGAAAAAATATCTTGATGTTTGTGAATAAAGTAAATTATATTAAGAATGTCACTCTTACATCTACAGTACCTAATCCAGATTAGTCGATTGATAAATCAGAAACTAGTGGTTAAAAAAAAGACTGTTATTAAGAAACTATATGAAAAATAAAAATATAATAACTGTTTTAAAAGGTCCACTATTTTGAAAAATATTTTTTATTATACTATTTTTAAATATAAAGAGGAATAAAATTTTAACAATAAAATATTAAAAGAAATATTTTTTTTCATTCTTTTATTTTTTATATTTATTTATTTTCAAATTATTTATTTATTTTATATTTTTTGACTTTTATAATTTCTTAATCATTTCTTCATATTTCTAAATTTTTTTATTTTATTTTAAAAATCATATTTTCAAAAAAAAAATATTTTTAGTTTAAACTCTCTTAATAATTATTTTGAATAGTATATAATTTTTTAAATTTCTGTTTTTAAGATATCAATTATAATTGGATAATGTTAAAAGAAAAAAATTATCTTCGTAACATATTGTCCTGATTTTCTCACTTTCAAAATATATACGAATTAAATTATTAATTTTTCAGAAGCCACGATACTTAATTTATAAATTGATAGGGCCTTAAGAAGTATTTAAATTAAATATTCTAATTAAACTAAAAGTAGAACAATATTTTAGACTGAAATATTTATCTTTACAAATTTGCAAAGATTAAACTTTTAATGATAAAAATAAATAAATCTTTGGATATATTAGAATGATTTCTAATAAACTTTAATTTATTATTTCCAAAATTGAAATGTTAAATGTTTTATAAATTAAAAAGAAGAATAAAATAATCAACGAGATTTGTTCAAGTCGTAAGTAGTCTGGTAGTTTAAATAAATTTTGAGTTTTAGACTTTGTGAATATATAAAATCTCCGTCGAAAGATTCACTTATCAAAATCAGATGTACAATATAATTCAATTTGAATTAATCAGTGTAAAATTACGAGGGACCAATAGGGCAACAATAAGAAGAAGATAATGTGTTGCATACAAGAAATGAAACCAAATCCATTTGCTAACTAACAATGTCACAGTTAGGTGAGTACGCAAAAAAATGGAAGGCAATTTAAAGTTTCACTTACAATAGAATCAAAGTGGTCCAAATTCTATATCTACATTATCTAGGCCTAGGCCTATCTTGGCCATGACCCACCCCATATCTATAAAAGTATATATTATTTATTTAGCCACTCACTTATTAATTAGTTTTTGTTTTAGTCACTTAACTATTATTTATTTTAAATCACAATTAATATTACGTTTTTGTTATGTTTTGGTCACTCGTATTTAAAAAATTAGCAATGATGTTAATGTGTCATCATAAGGTAATGTCACGGTATGATTGGAAATAATTAAAAAAATGTCACGTTAGCATCACTGTTAATTTTTTAACGGTATGTGATCAAAACAGAACTAAGACTTAAGGTTATGCATGATTTTGAAAAATAATAGTTGTATGACCAAAACATAAATTAAGTAATAGGTGGATGACCAAATAGTTAGTTTACCCTAAATTATATATATATATATATATATATATATATATATATATATATATGAATTATATTAAGAAAAATTATATTGGTCAAATTAATATATTTTTTCTAGATTTAAACCATATATATATATATAATTGTTATTATATTTTTAAATTAAAAATGTATAAAAATTACTTTAGATAAAAAATTTATTATGTTTATATTGACCTAACTTATATAATTTTTCTGATTTCACCATTAAACGAGAACTCTTTGTTTATTTATTCATTTCAGTACTAATTTGAAGGATAAATTATATGTTTAGTATTATAACTATCACTTTTGTTTTGTTTTAATCACATAACTCTCATTTTTTTATAAAATCATACCCAACTAAATTTAGCTGAAAAAAAGATTAAAGACGTTGGCAACTCAAGATAATTAGTAATTACAGTAAGGTGGTCCTGTCCACACCTTAATGCCAATTGGAAAACGACGACTACTTGAAACCAAAAAGAAATATGCTCCAAATCAAACGGTTGTATGATTACCGACGATAGTTGATCTAATCGATAACAGATTCAGAAATATTTATTAACATAGATACATATATATTAATAATATAAATTTTTAAATAGAATAAACACGAATAAAATTTTAAGTTGTGCAACAATAGTAAATGAATAATTAATATAAAAAAATTAGATTTCAGGTGGGCACGTACCCATTTTGAACAAACCTTGCATCTCCATCGAATTTAGTGGGACGATATACTAAATTCCTTAAGTAATATTAGAGTTTGAATCTTAATATTTACGAATGAAACAAACTGAGTTAAGAGAATGACTTCCACAAAAGACTTTTATATAATTTAATCAAAATTAATAAATCTATAAATCAAATATATGTTATTAATTAAAAAAAATGGCTGCATGGTTCTATATCTCGTGTAACGTGCATAGCCTTTAACCTGCAACGATTCATTAAGTCTCCACTCTCACTTTTCTCAGAAACTTTAATGCCTTGCAATTGCCAAGCTGTATAGGATCCACCCTGCAGCCATTTACGTTTCAACTTTGGAAACGTCAAGCAGGTAAATTTCAAATTCCTTTTTCCATTTCAACCATCACCTCCAACGTTTTTTCTTAAGCATTTCAATCAAATTCCTACATTGCTCGGTTTTGTTAGAACATTCAATGGTAAATAGATTTTCGTTTAGTTATCGTTCCTTAAATCTCTGTTTGGTTGCCGAGAAAACCAAAAATAAATTAATTAGCAATCTACACTATTCCGTGTGCTCTTAGATGATTATTTCCGGAGTAAACTAAAGCGGTTCCTTCTTTTGTCACTTTTTTTTATTGTTATCCCTTTTTGTTTCCTTATGTTGTTTAGGATGAAGACACTGTTGAGATCCTATTCTTTAGTGGCGTATAATATGAGCAAATAGCCAAATACTCATGTGTGTTAAGCGTGGTATAAGGATCTTTAGCTTAAACGGTGCAGAATCATGTGCATACTGCAAAGTAGTCGCCTCATTTTCTTTTATATATATTATTCATCTTTTAGATTTTCCTTTACGAGGGAGTTTGCTCATGCACTTACATAAATATAAAAAAAAACTGCCGACCATCGTTTCTTTTTTTTTATACAAGTCAAATTAGTATTTTAAACTTGATTGTTTTGGTTTTTTAAAAATTAAATCATGAACATGGACGCAGATAAGAAAATACAAACTCCCCCCCCCCTCAATATGCTTATGTTAATTGCAACTTAAATTAGCCTTCTTGAATTGCTATTACAAAGTCATCTTTTTCCAAGTCTCCATTTATTTTTGCAGACAAAAATTGTAAGCTAAAATTCCATTAAATGAGTAATGTTTTCTATGAACATTTGTTTCATTTGCATCTGATTGGTTTCTCATTTGTTTGATGATAAGAACTGTCGCATTTACATGTATCTCAGGTTGCCTTGCTTGTTGTGATCAATTTCTGTTTGCTATTGCATGTTCCCTTGAAAAGTGAAGGTTCCAAGATCGCTGCTTAAGGTATCATTAAACCAGTAGTAATTTCAATTAGTTTTTCTTGTGATTTTGTCTATATTCCCTGCCATGTTTTCACTTTCTGCTTCAGATGTTCATAGACTATGATGATAATAATATTTTCTTATTGCCGCTGCAGGTACCTTTAGCTATCTATCTTTTTCTGCGCTTCAATATTTCCTTGTACAAGCTCACTTTCTTACACATCAGATGAGCAACCTTAAGTTGGGGGTTGATGTGATCAGTGCCCATAATCTTTTGCCTAAAGATGGGCAAGGTTCATCCAGTTCCTTCGTCGAGCTCTACTTCGACGGTCAGAAATTCCGTACCACCATCAAGGAAAAGGATCTCAGTCCTGTTTGGAACGAGAGCTTTTATTTCAACATCAGGGATCCTTCCATCCTACATTATTTGACTCTTGAAGCCTATGTCTACAATAATATCAGAGGTACTAACACCAGAGCGTTTCTCGGCAAGGTTTGTCTAACCGGTACTTCATTTGTTCCTTACTCTGATGCTGTTGTCTTGCATTACCCTTTGGAAAAGCGTGGCATATTTTCACGTGTTAGAGGAGAGCTTGGCTTGAAAGCTTATATTACAGATGATCCATCTATAAAGTCCTCCATCCCCTCACCTGCTGTTGAATCTTTGCCCAATAGTGAACCTCATGTGACTCATATGCATTCCCAAGCAGCTCAAACCCCGGCCGTGAAAGTCGAATCGAGACACACCTTCCATCATCTTCCCAATCCAAATCTACACCAACATGATCATCATCATAACCATTCTTCTGATCCTGCCGCTCACCATCATCATGTACCCAAGTATATTGCTGATGAGATGAAACCAGAACCACCTCCTCCAAAGCTGGTCCGAATGTACTCTGCAGCATCTGCACAGCCTGTTGATTTTGCACTAAAAGAAACCAGTCCCTTTCTTGGTGGGGGAAGAGTTGTGGGAGGACGTGTTATCCATGGGGACAAGACTGCGAGTACTTATGATCTTGTTGAGCGTATGCATTTTCTCTATGTGAGGGTTGTTAAGGCTCGTGAACTTCCTGCGATGGACATTACAGGGAGTCTTGATCCGTTCGTGGAGGTAAGGGTTGGGAACTACAAAGGCATAACAAAGCACTTTGAGAAAAAGCAAAATCCTGAGTGGAACCAGGTGTTCGCCTTTTCAAGGGATCGAATGCAAGCTTCTGTTCTAGACGTTGTGATTAAGGACAAGGATCTGATGAAAGATGACTTTGTTGGAATTGTAAGGTTCGACATCAGTGAAGTTCCATTACGTGTTCCGCCAGATAGTCCTCTGGCTCCACAGTGGTACCGGCTTGAAGATAAGAAAGGAGAGAAGATAAAGGGTGAGCTTATGCTTGCTGTCTGGATTGGAACTCAAGCAGATGAGGCTTTTTCTGATGCCTGGCACTCTGATGCAGCTACACCGGTTGATAGCACACCTGCTACATTCACAGTGCTACGATCAAAAGTCTACCATTCACCACGGTTGTGGTACGTGCGTGTTAATATTGTCGAGGCACAAGACCTGGTTCCATTGGAGAAAAACCGTTTTCCTGATGTGTATGTTAAGGCACAAATAGGCCACCAGGTGCTGAAGACAAAGCCGTGTCAGGCTCGTACTCTGAATGCAATCTGGAATGAAGATCTTCTGTTTGTTGCCGCTGAACCCTTCGAAGATCATCTGGTTCTTTCAGTTGAGGATCGTGTGGCTCCTGGAAAAGACGAGATCATTGGGAGAGCCATCATACCATTGAACTCCATAGAAAAGCGTGCTGATGATCGAATGATTCATTCCCGCTGGTTCAACCTTGAAAAGCCAGTTGCTGTGGATGTAGACCAGTTGAAGAAAGAGAAGTTTTCTAGCCGTATCCATCTTCGTGTTTGTTTAGATGGAGGATATCATGTGCTGGATGAGTCTACTCATTACAGTAGTGATCTCCGACCAACAGCAAAGCAAATCTGGAGGCCACCAATTGGCGTGTTGGAACTTGGCATCTTAAATGCTGTAGGTCTTCATCCTATGAAAACACGAGAAGGAAGAGGAACATCAGATACCTACTGTGTAGCGAAGTATGGTCACAAATGGGTCCGCACACGCACACTTGTTGATAATGTGTCTCCAAAATACAATGAACAGTACACTTGGGAAGTATTTGATCCAGCTACCGTGCTCACCGTTGGTGTATTTGACAGCAGCCAGCTTGGAGAAAAGGGTTCAAATGGAAACAAGGACCTGAAGATCGGGAAAGTTAGGATTCGTATTTCCACATTGGAAGCAGGTCGTGTGTACACGCATTCTTATCCTTTGTTGGTTCTTCATCCTACTGGAGTTAAGAAGATGGGGGAATTGCATTTAGCAATACGGTTTACATGTACGTCTTTTATAAACCTGCTTTACCAGTATTCTAAACCACTACTACCCAAAATGCACTATGTAAGGCCCTTTAGTGTGATGCAGCTTGACATGCTACGCCACCAAGCTGTCAGTATAGTGGCAGCACGGTTAGGTCGAGCAGAGCCTCCACTTCGGAAGGAGGTAATTGAGTATATGTCCGATGTGGACTCACACCTTTGGAGTATGCGTAAAAGCAAAGCAAATTTCTTCCGACTAATGACAGTTTTCTCGGGATTGTTTGCTGTTGGGAAGTGGTTTGGAGATATCTGCATGTGGAAGAATCCTATCACAACAGTTTTGGTTCACGTGCTCTTTCTAATGCTTGTTTGCCTCCCCGAACTGATATTGCCTACAGTTTTCCTTTACATGTTTATGATAGGGGTGTGGAACTACCGGTATCGACCAAGGTATCCTCCTCACATGAACACAAAGATTTGCCAAGCTGAAGCAGTGCACCCCGATGAGCTTGACGAGGAATTCGATACTTTTCCAACAAGCAAGAGTCCAGAGCTTGTCAAAATGAGGTATGATCGGTTGAGGAGTGTGGCCGGTAGAATTCAGACTGTGATTGGTGATATTGCAACACAGGGCGAGCGGTTTCAAGCACTGCTAAGCTGGCGAGACCCTCGTGCTACTGCCATCTTTATTACATTCTGCCTCGTAGCTGCCATCGTGTTGTTCGTGACACCATTTCAGGTGATAGCAGCCTTGGCAGGGTTCTTTGCGATGAGACACCCCAGATTTCGCTATCGATTGCCACCAGTGCCTATTAACTTCTTCCGCCGGCTGCCTTCCAGGACAGATAGCATGTTGTAAGGGATGGTTTAAAGACAATCAAAACCTCCTAGTGTTTCTCCAAGTCGTTATGTTTTTCCTGGTGCATCATGGTTATTATCTGCCAAGTGTTCTGCCGATATTTTGATCCATAAGTAATGTGTTTTCTCTATATGCTGACTCAGTATTCGAATAAAATGAAGAGTAGTTTCAATAATCAAACTTTTTCAATGCTCTATTTATTTATATGCTGACTTGTCCAATGAATCTTCAGACGTCTGATTTCTATGCTCTCTTAAGGTCTAGTTTATACCGTAGCAAATGATTTTTCAACTGAAAAAGTATAAATACTATATATATTTTTGTTGATGAGTACAATTGTGTCTTATTGGCCGTTAACGGTTCACCCTTTAGACGAAAAATCGTATTTGGTGAGATAACGATCGTTGGTCAATATTTCACTATAAGAGAGACAAATACATAAAGGAGAAGATGGGGATAAAGAAGGAGAAAAAATGGTCATGGTCATCTTTAATTGATGATGTCAGGCGTAGAATAATTATAGTTACATGTAGGTCAACATACTAAATAAATCTGATTGTTAGATTTTTTTATTTTATTATTGTAGATTACGTGGATTTATCAAAGGTTTTGTTTATGTACTGTAACTGATTCGGAAACCATGGAATTCCTATGTTCAGAGGACAAAAATACCTTAAAAATTTAGTAAGTGAACGAGTCAAGAGAATTGATAGTTTCTCGAGATATTTTTAAAGATATAATATTTTTTAAATCTTTTATGCTGTTTGAAGTTGAATTTTTCTGAGAGTGCAATATAATGAATTCGGAATATTACATAATTAGTTTACGTATCCAACTTTAACTCAGATATAGTATATTTGGGTTCAAATCCAAGCATATGTAAGGTAACTCAAGTCTCAAATTGCAATTTCACTCTAAAAATGACAACAACAACAAATTAATAATTTAATTTATTAATTAAAACAAAATAAAGAAAAAGAAAGGACTATAAATTCCCACTTTACTCTAAGGTGACGTTTGGTTCTCTGAAATGTTTCTAAGGGAATTGAAATCTGTGAAGGAATTAGAATCTGTAGGAATTGGAATCTGAATCTGAAACTTGTTTGGTTGGCAGTAAATTAAATTGGAATTCAATTTCATATTCTGTTTGGTTCGCACACATGTCAGATGAATTTGATTTCAGTAATGTAAAATGACAGAATTACCCTTCTTATTTTTTTTGCTTAATTTTAGTTTGTTTTATAACTTATAAAAATCATACTAATAAACATCATAAGTTAAAATCATCCCAATTAGGGATGGTCATGGGTCGGGTTTTTGGTCCACCCGACCCGACCCGAGAACAAGGAAACCTCCACCCGAGTCCCGACTCGACCCGACCAAAATAAAGTTTCACCCGACTCGACCCGACCCGAATATCACGCTTAAAAAAACCCGACCCGAATCCGATTTTTTTTTAAAATCCAACCCGATCCCAAAACTTTTTTAAAAAAATCCAACCCAAATACCAAAAGATTGATGAGGGTAATATGGTCAAATTTCACATTCTCTCCTCCAAAGGATTTCAATTTCATCATGTTATGGATGAAATTTACTTTCCCTCTCTTGATGAAATTGGATTCCAATTCCCCCTAATTTCAAATGATTCCAGCGAACCAAACATCACCTAAAACTCATTTTATCAATTATCCTTGAAGTAAAGCCAAGGAAAACAGTAAAACTTTTTGAAATATAAATTTATGCATTTATTATTTTACTTAAAAAGAATTATTTTAATATTTAATTTAATTATCAACAATACCTTTAAATTTTATGCGACGAAATAAAATACTTAATTAATTTATTAACAGATCAATTTTTAATGTCTTAAATTTATGCTAAAGCAAGTTATTTCTATTATTAAAATTTTGAATTTACAAGTAATTTTTTTTTATAAATTTAAAGTGAATAGAAAATAGTATCAATTTAAAGGCTCTCAATCCTTTAACTATAAACGCTCATATTCTAATTTACATGGCATTATAACCCGAAACTTCAAAAGATAACAACAATAACTACTGAAGTCGCTTGGTTATTGCACAACCAACTTTTTTTAATAGAAAAATGATTAAACCCATAATTATATGAAAATAACAGGATTTTCAAACTCCATAAACTTTTATATTAATTGAACTCAAAACCATTTAGCAAGTAGCCAAATAATATACAATCCCTTGGCCTAACTTTAAACTAAGCATACATTGAAAATCATAAAAACCCCAACATATGTACAGAATTTGGCAGCACTCTATTCATAATAGCTTTATTATTTACTTGACAAATTGCACACCCCTAAACCTATATGTGTGTGTGCGTGTGTGACTGGTATATACATACTACACACATAAAACACTGGATATAGAGCTTTTTATCATATGTTATTCAATCTTTATTCCACCTATCTCAAGGTTTTCCAGCTTCTTGGGTCTCTTGTAATTCTTTAATAAGAGGGAGCAGCAAACAACACTAACAGAGGAGGCAGCCATGGCAGCTCCAGCAATCCATGGAGGCAAACGAAATCCGGTAGATGGAAAAAGAGCTCCAGCAGCTATCGGAATCCCAAGAATATTATACCCCAAAGCCCATATATAGTTGAGGCGGATACGAGAAAAGGTTTTCCTGGAAAGGTGTATGGCAGTGATCACATCCTCTAAGTTGCTCTTCATCAGAACAATGTCAGCTGCCTCTATAGCAATATCTGTGCCAGCGCCGATTGCCATACCGACATCAGCGGCCACAAGTGCCGGTGAATCATTGATGCCATCCCCTACCATTGCCACAACATAACCTTCCGCCTGCGGTCAAGGGGAAAGAAAGTACAGATATGCCATCAATCTTTTATATGAACCACCAATGATTATATGTGTGTGTGTATAAATGTACCTGTAATTCTTTAACTTTATTGGCTTTTTGTTCGGGTTTGGCTTCTGCAATGACAGTTTCGATTCCAATTTGCCTAGCAATGGAACTTGCAGTTCCCATATTGTCACCAGTCACCATGATGCTTCTTACATCCATAGACTTGAGAATGGAAATAACTTCCTGAGCACCTGGTTTCACTGGATCGGATATGGCGAGGACTCCAGTCACTTCCCCGTCTATCGACACTAAAATGCCGGTTTGTGCCATCCCTTCCGTCTCTGTTAGCATGTCTTCAGCATCAGCTGGAATAGAAATGTTGTAGTCCAACATCAAGCTCTTGTTTCCCACAATCACTTCCCTGTTCCTCACAATGGCTTTCACTCCATGACCTGTAATAGAGATGAAGTCACATGCCTCTGGCCACGCAGGGTTCTCTTCATCTTCTCGGAACTTCTTGGCATACTCGATGATGGCCTTGGCTAACGGATGCTCACTGTTTACCTAACCAATTCACCATATTTTCAGCGTTTGTAATGAAAAAAATGTTTGATTCAATCCATTTGAATCTCATTGAGATCCACTCGAGTAGGTCTACAAAAAGTGTTTACCTCAGTTGCAGCAACAAGTTCGTAGAATTCATGTAGCACCACGTTTCTCAAGAGTCGTGTGTTAACAACCACTGGCTTTCCAACTGTGAGAGTCCCTGTCTTGTCAAATACAATGCAATTTACCTGCAATATCAAGCATTGCAGCATAAGATTTCCAGGCAGAAAACAGGTCCTGAAGCAGTAACTTTTTTTTTTCTTTTTTAAGACAAATAATAAATTAGTCCAATTCACGAAAATTGGCGACGTAAAAGAAGAAAAGCATCAGCTAACCTTATGTGCACCTTCCAATGCTTGACCTCCTTTAATTAATATGCCTTGAGATGCACCAACGCCGGTACCAACCATAACAGCAGTTGGGGTTGCAAGGCCAAGGGCACATGGACAGGCTATGACCATGACAGAGATTCCAAACTGAAGTGCGAGCTCAAAGCTATCCATAGAATGTGGTATCCATGATTCTGGGTAGCCATGAAACTTTCCTGCTAAAAACCATGCAAGCCCTGTCGAAAATGAAAGCATAATCACCTGTGAAAGACAACAGTGAGTAGCTCACAAAGAGTTGCACATGTGAAACAACTTTATGGGGGAAAAACACTAAAAAGACATGAAGCAACAACAGTTTTTCCTCACCAGAGGAACGAAATATTTGGAAATGCGGTCAGCAAACTTCTGCACTGGAGCTTTGGCCATCTGAGCAGACTCGACAAGCCGAACAATCTGCGCAAGTGCACTTTCTGAACCAACCTTTGTTGTCTTAATATGCAGTACTCCATTCTCATTGACGGTGCCTCCAATAACCATATCACCCTTCCTCTTTGCCACTGGTCGTGCCTCTCCTGTTATCATGCTTTCATTTATGTGGCTTTGCCCCCACAAAACAAAACCATCTGAAGCTACTTTTGCACCGGGTATAACTTTGATAATATCATTCTTTTGTATCAATCGACTGTCGATTTCTTCTTCACCTATCACATTTCCATCCTCATCCAAAGTCAACAATATTGCCGTCTCAGGTGCAAGGTTCATAAGCTTCGCAATGGCCGCAGATGTCTTTCCCTTGGCCAGAACCTCCAGATACTTACCAAGTAAAATAAATGATATAAGCATTGCGCTTGTCTCGAAGAAATCGGTACCCTCAAAATCTGGAGAGGTAGCAGCTCTTATCACAGTGTATACAGAATAAAAGTAGGCTGCATTAGTCCCCAATGCAATTAAAACATCCATATTGGCAGAGCCATGGAGCAATGCTTTGTAGGATCCGGTATAGAACCGCCGCCCTATTATGAACTGCACAGGAGTTGCTAGCACCCACCTTATAATCTCACCTATAGTTAGCATGTTGACTACTTTGGTATCCAAACCATGCTTAATTCCTGGGATATACATGAACACCATGGAAGTTAAAAATACAGGAGTAGTGAAAATCAAGCTCCACAGGAAGGATCTGAAGTACTGCTTGATTTCCTCCTTTCTATAAGACTCCCTTCCACCTCCTTCGTTTTCGGGAAATATAGTTGCCTTGAAACGCTTGCTACTCCCGGTTGAATCTATCACTCTGATAAAGTTTCTCGGTCCTGTCATATCCGGTTTGTATGAGACTGAAATCTTTTTGAGCTCAGGTGATATTTCTACAACTTGAACTCCTGGAAGTGCTTGAATGGAATTTTCAAGCATTCTCATTGAATTATCAGTCCTTACACCGTCAACACGAAGATTAATCTTGCTCATGTCTTCTCCCGTGCTAACAAGTATGGCCCCGAATCCAGTGTCCTCTATTGCTTCCATAAGTTGATTGTAGGTCACAATTTTTGGATCATGATGAATTTCTGCTTCTTCAGTTGCTAAAGCAACTCGGACCTTTTGCACACCAGGAATTGCCTGCAAAACGTTTTCAACAGTGGAGGAGCAAGACGTGCACGTCATTCCATTAATCTGTATTCGGCATACTTGAATGGATTTCTCATTTGTCTCATCTTCAATCAATGCAGCTTGAAATCCAACATCTTCAATGGCCTCCCGAATGCTCTCCTCCTATAAATGTTTACAATTTCAAAAGCTTGCATAACACAAGTGCACAAAGAACAACAAATAGGAAATAAAAGAAAGCAAAACAGAATTAAGCCAGCATGCATCTATTAAGTTATGAGTCAGACTGCACCTTCATGAAATTGCAAGAACAATGAAATATACAACTTTTCACACACAGTAATCAAGTAAGCTCTTTTGCAGCAGTAATAATGCACAACCTGTTACAAAACTTGCCTATCATATATAATTTCACATGACTATTTCCCTTGCTGCATGGACAACGATTAATTGTTTAAAGCTCTTGGTCTAATTCGTTTTTGCTCCGAGATGGCACTTATGTATCTTGTACCTTCAAACCCAACCCCTCTTCTTCTTTTTCTAATGTTTTCTTCTCTTCTCAGTTCTCAGCCAGTCATAAGATTATTATGAAATGAACACATATCCCATATCCTTGTTCATTATGTGGAGCCGGAGCAACAGAGCATATCTGGTTTTAGGTGCTGTAAATAAGTTGTAAGCTTTACAGTAAACACTATTAATCTTACTATTTTCTTGAATGAATAGAAAGAAATTAGAGGCTTTTTTAGAGTTCCAACTTGTTTCTACTTAATTTTCAGTCTTAATTATACCAGTTGAAGGCTGTTTTTCCCCTAAGCCATATCAAAGGAACAAGATAAAACACAATTCTTGACATACATACGAGTACTCTTGTTAAAATCAAGTACTAGAAAGGTGTTTGGTCGTTTCAGTTAACTAATGGTCATAAAACCATAACCTAAGCAGGTGAATACTCATTCATAATAATGGAGTTTATGCTTTTTGTATTTTCAGATATCTTAAACTCCATTTATCTCTTCAAACATAAGTTATGGAAAACAAAATTAAGCAAAGATAAGCACTTTAATCTTTCAAAGACAATATGAGACAAAAAAACTGTGTTGAGAGGACACAGTTGGGGTTTGTTTGATTAACACACCAGCTCAGGTCTCAATCTCATGGTCCAAAACCATCGGGGACCGAGGGGACCGGTGGGACATTCGCCTAATGGAAATTTCAAATTAGCATATAGTTCAGATATTTTCAATTGATAATCTATTTTGTCAATTTTATAAGTTAGCTCCCTCATAAAATTTTAAAAATTCACCCCTAACCTGAGATCCTACATCCGAGGACTACGTTGCCCCATTGATGTAGGTTGAGTAATTAGTCCAGGAGCTGCAGTTTTGTTGGTAAAGCATTAATGGAAGTCAAAAAATAAAGGTTTAATAGTGTGAGCTTGACGTGTTTCTTCATCCTCCACAAGCAAAGCGACAAAGTAATTGGGAAGAAAAGAAATGATAAAGACGACAAACTTTATGGGGGAAAAAACAGAAAACAATATCCCAACAAACGAGAAACAAAGAACCCAACTGAAAACCGGAAATAACAAGAAAATCAGACAAAACTTACATTAACAAAACTTGGGTAGAAGAGAACTTGTGCCTTGTTGTTCAAAACATCGACGACGGCTTCCTTGATTCCCGGAAGCCTCTTGACAGCCTTCTCGACGGATCCGGCGCAGGCGGAACATGTCATTCCGATGACAGAAAAGATTGCCCTGGCCTCTGACCCCTGCACTTGTGCCGATATCCCTTTCGGGTACTTAGGCATCGATGGATAATGAGGCCTTGGCGACAAATCTCCATAACTCTCCTTCCCTATGCATGCCAATGCTAACAACTTGCTCGCCATCTTCTACCTCTTGCAGCTCCTTAAATTTTACTGTAATAGAAACAGGGTTTGGAAGTTTGATTCAGTGAATTATATTTGGTATTTTCAAGGAAAAGGAGAAAAGGAGAAAAGCATTCTTCTTTCCCTTTAAAGTTACTTGTTTGATTTCTTGGATTCCATGTTTCTTTAGCTTTTGGATTATAAAACATTAAGAACTGTTTAGGGTAAACTACATGTTAGTATCCTAACTATTTTTGTTATTTTAGTTTGGTCATTCCACTATTATTCTTTTTCAAAATCATAATTAATGTTATGTTTTGGTTTCATTTTGGTCACCCATCGTTAAAAGATTAATAGAATTACTGACGTGAAATTTTTCTAAAAAATCAATGATGACATAATATTATCGTATGTAGATACATCAGTTTCACCGTTAATCTGTAGGTAAAGTACATGTTTAGTACATCAATTATTACATTTGTTCCATTTTGGTTACTCAACTATTTTTTTGTTTCAAAAGCATATAGAATGTTACATTTTTGTTTCATTTTGGTCACCTGCCGTTAAAAAGCAACAAAAATATTAACATGATAATTTTTTTTATTTTTTTCAACGATGATATGGCATTACCTTATGAAGCACGTTAGCATCACCGTTAATATTTTAACAGTGGGTGACCAAAAACCAAAACATAATGTTAAGTATGATTTTGAAATAAAAAATAGTTGGGTGACCAAAATGGAACAAAAGTGATGGTCGGGGTACTAAACATGTAGTTTACCCTTAATTTTTAACGGTGAGTGACCAAAATGAAACCAAAACATAATGTTAGGTATGATTTCAAAACAAAAAATAATTTGATGACTAAAATGGAACAAAAATAATAGTTGATGTACTAAATGTGTAGTTTACCTAAATATGTAACATGCAATACACCAACGTGTTTATGCTATGGATATACGTGATCTGAAATGACAAACAACTCCTAGGTTTATGCTACGAATGCCTATAGTTTTCTACAAATGGGGAATAGACTTTACGTGAAAGATAATAAGATTTGAATTCAGAGATCACTCTTATGCTATTCTACGAATATATGTGATGATGGTAATAATATCAGTTATATATGCGATCGTGATAAATATAATATGAAGCAAAACACGACCACAACAACAATTAAATCCCTAGTTTATGCTATGAATGCATAGAATTTTCTACAAAATGGTTAACAGAAAATAAAGACTTTACGTGAAAGATAATGAGATTGAATCCAGAGAACAGTCCGAGGTTTTCTTCTTCTGCAAGACGTATATATAATGTACAAATGAAATATAAAAAAAATGGGTGGAAACGTGGTTACATACGCAGGTATTATTTTAATCATATGCTTATCTTCCCTTCCAAGCAATGACTTTGAGTTATCAACTTGTGTAGTTTAATTTTGAGTTTGCTGAATTCAATATAAAAACAAAATTGATTCTTCATTTAAGATTCCCTTTTGTCAACAATGTCCTTTTCCAGGTCAAAACTGCTGAGGTTTTTTTGTTTTGGTTTGAGACATAGAATATTGTCCCAAACTATTGGAGCCTGATTTGCTCTTATACCACCACTAGCATACCCCAACTGATTTGGTTGGGTTACTTGTCTTGGTTAATCTGAGTAGTGAGAAAGGTAATTTAAAAATCAAATCTCTTGGTATAAATCAAGCGACTTTAATGGTTAAGAGATTTGTTATTATTTTTTGAAGTTTCTGATTCAAGCACTGCGTATGCAGAAGTATGAGCATTCGTTGCTAAAGTGCTGAAAGTCTTAAAACAAATATTACCTTATATTCACCTCAAATTTATCAAAAAAAAAACAAAAAAATACTTAAAAATACTATTTAAAAATATAACAATCATTAAATATATATTTATCATTCTACCTAGAATGATTCATTAAATAAATTATCATTATTTATGGAAATAAAGTGGTTATCTTAGCTTTTGACAATTTACCTCTTTTGATTTGGACGAATAACCACAATCGGTTGTTCGTGGTAGAATTACAAACATTTAAGATCATTTGGTTCATGGAGTTTAAAAAGGGAAAATAATCGATGAAGTAAAAGAAAAAGGAGACGATCATCCTTTTCAATCTCATGTAGTGACTTAAATATTGACCTTTAATGTTGGTGTTAGGTATAGGGTTTATTTGTCTAACGTGACCTGTAGAGGAAGTATAATAATTTTCCCCTTAGTTGAAAGAATATCATAAAATGACATGGCTCGAAAGTTGCGGCAAAATATGCTTCTTATCGACACGGAGGTCTCTCCGTGGAGCAGTCATGACTTTGATCTAGAGAGCACAACAAATGTGCTGATTTTCTATTTCGGAAGCTCCTCCTAACAATTAATTTAAAATTGGACAGAGTTGTCTAAAGAAAAATGGTTGAATCACATCACTAGTCATTAAGTTCATTAGACTTCACAGTTTGAACTCTAAAATTCACCTTATATTCAATTTAGTCCCTATATTCATCAATATTTAAAATACAAAAAATAAACAAGCATAAAAACGAGTTGATAAACTATCTTAGAGCCAATAAACGAGTTTGTTCACGAACATAAATAAATTAAATACATCTTTATTCATGTTTGTTCATTTATATAACTTAATAAATGAATGTTATACAAATGGTTCACAAATAGCTCATCAATCATTATGTTTATTTACACTATGATCTAAGTTTGGTTAAGGAACACATTTTCTTGAAAAAGAAATAGCTTCATTATCAAATTAGTGGAGTAATTTGATCCATGTGGCGTCTATGCATCAGACCTCAAAAACGTCTAGGACGGAAGTTGTGAAATTCTCCAAAAACTGCTTGCAAATAAAGATTAAACTTAATAAGCTGAAATTTGTATAAAAAATCCATCATATAGTTTGTTAATTTAGACCTTATATATCAATATATTTTTTAGTATTTCTATATTCATTTTATGATACATAATAAAGTTCGTTATTACCTCTTTTATTAATATTATTTTTAAGAATAATTTTTTATATTCTCTTTAAGAGTATAATATATCTTATAAATACACTAATATTTATTAATTGATTGATATATAAATACAATAATTAAATATAATTGTAATTCTCGTATGATTGTATATATATTTAAAATATTATATGATTGTAGATTTATAGATTTTTTTTATTAGTACAAAGTGATTACGTATTTTTCTTAATTAATTGATTATAAAAGCGAATATATTTTTATTTTTTACCATTGAAGTTTTTTATGAATTATAGATTTATGAATGTTAATTAAATATAATATTTTTTTTATTAATTTAGTGTGATTACAAAATAATATATGTTTTAGAGATTCTCAAGTATTTGACAATGAAAACTTAATCATCCTTGTAATTTTCGGTGCTCGAACTTGAGATCTCTAAGAATAATAATCATTCATTCAATTACTGAAGTAGTTTGGTTTTGTATTAATCGAATATAATAATTATGTTTGAAACTATTAGACAGTTAATATAATAAATCAATAAACATAACAAATTTTTGGATAAAACAATTTATCGTGACAACGCGAGAATGACCTGAGAGTTAATAAAATTTTGAGGACGTGAAAACTAAATCCTTTGTCGTTGCGCCAGTGTAGTTTACGTTTTCACTGAGGTCAGTTCGAGTCAGCACAACAATAGACAATTATTTCATTTTATCGTATTTACCAGTTTTCTTTTACCATTTATTTTATATTCAGGAACTGAAAAAGACATTAACATTACCAAAACAAAGTAATTAAATATCTCAATCATACAGTTATATTTTATATAATCTCAAAAATCTTGTTTTTAAATAATTTGAATAATATTTTATTAATGGTAAAGTACACAAATGGTCCTCCGACTATATTATACTACTTTGTTGATTCTCCTAACTATTAAAAGTTATAAATTGGTCCTCCGACTCTATTATACTATTTTATTGATTCTCCTAACTATTAAAAGTTATAAATTGGTCCTACGACTATAGGGAGTTGCTTTGTTGAGTCCTTTGACTATTAAAGTTACAAAATGATCACTCAACTATTCATTATGTTCCAAACTTGTCCTTTTTCATTAAAAATTTAATGATCGTCTGAGCAGGACATTAACATGTTGACTGAAATATGATAATCATTAGAGATTAGGAAATCATATTTTATCATATCTTAGTCAGCAGGTTAACGTCCAACTCAGATTGCCATTAATTTTTTTAAAGAGAAAGAATGAGTTTGGAATATAATGAAAAGTCAGATGATCATTTTATAACTTTTAATAGTTAAGGGACTCAACAAGGCAAATCCATGTAGTCGAGGGAACATTTTATAAATTTTAATAGTCAAAGGACTTAATAAAATGATATTCTATAGTCAAGGGATTATTTATGTATTTTATGAATACCAGAGTATTAACAAAGCAAACCATTTACTGAAGTAAATGAAATCAGGCTTACAGTATAAGAATATTTAATATATATATATATATATATATATATATATATTATTTATTTATTTATTGTTTTACATCTGATTAATTTATTGAAGTAGTTAACTTTATGAGATCAACTCTTTGACCCATAACTTTTATATCAATTATTATTGTGCTGATATGGTTGTTTCTTTGTTGATCCGACAATTAACGTGTTAACGATGATGGGATAGAGGGTTTTGAATAATTTTCTTTTAAATTTTGATGATTTATTTAATTTTAAGAAAGTAAATAATGAAAAGTATAGAAATATTTAAAATTTTAAATAAAGTAGAATTTTTAAATAATTAAAACAATAAATAAAGTAGAAAATTGTTAAAATTTTATTGAAAGCAATAAATAATTTAAAAAAATATTAAATAGATTAATAAAATATGTAAAAATCATATATATATATATATATATATTAAAAAGAAATAAATTCTATATCAAACATGTCACTACTCTTTTCAACTTGAGTTTACGATGAAAACGGGCTGACCTGAAAAGGTTTTATTTCATTTCATAATAAAATATGTAATCTCTCCCCTTATATAATACCTTTGACACTAACATCAATACAAATATCCAAATTATATATATATATTGACTTTTTTGCATGTCATGTATTATTCAGAAAAGCAACGGCTTATTAATGGAGACTTTTCAAAACAATACAAACTTTTACAGTCAGCAAAAAGTATTAAATTTTGTAGAATATTATCATAGAACTTATTGGGGCATTTGTCAGAGTAGTAATGTATAAAAAATTATTAATTAATTAATTAACTGAATGATATTTTTTTTGGCATTTATGTAAGTTAATTGCATTCGTAAAACTTATTATTTAAGGTTTAATATAAAAATTGGTGTCCAAATTATATTTTTTTTCCATTTAGGTGTATAAATTAATTTTTGGTCAGTTCAAGTGTCTAATATTTTTAACATTACACTTTTTAGTATATGGGCTGTCACGACCGTTAAATTCTATTGTTAAATGACAATATGACTTTTATAAAATTTTAATTTTTTTTTTAAATTAAAAAATTAAAAATATTTTTTTAAGAAAAAACCGAAATCTTTTAAAACTCTAATTTCAATCTCTTTGATACCATCGGCCTCCACTAACGTTGTTCATTGGCCGAACATCTAATGATATGTGACCGGTCAACCACCCTACGGAAAAAAAGCCCAAAACACCTTACTTTCGCAATCATCCGAATATCAACGACATGTAAACGGCCAACCACCCAACGACCAAAATCTCTTGCTTTTGTAATTGGTCGAACATCTAGTGATCATGTAAATGCACGTTTCGCAATCGTCGATTTTTATCACTATCACCAAATTTCATTGTAACTAGAGGTTGAAGTAGGGGGTTTCGATTGGTCACACACAATTGAAATTTTGTTTAGTTGGCGGAGTTAGTGATGGTCGATGGTACTAAAGGAATTGAAATTATGATTTTAAAAGATTTTGGTTTCTTTATAATTTTAGAAAAAATAGTTTTTAAAAAATATATTTTTAAGTGTTTTTTAAATAAATTTTTTATAATTTTATAAAGACAACACATGTCTTTTAACGGCATAATTAGCGGTCGTGACAGTCCAAATACCTAAAAGTGTAACGTTGTAAACGTTAGACACTTTAAATTGACCGAAAAATAATTTAGACAATTAAATTAAAAAATGATATAATTTTAACATTTATTTTTATATTAAGTCTTTATTTAATCATTAATTAAATATACATAGGAAATATAGAAAATAAAATAATTAGAGCCATATTTGATTAAAGTCCTACCTCTTTATATTATGGGCCAAAAAATTTGAGATTAACAAGAAAGTCGCCGAGAGGAAAGGCTTAATAAATATCCACATGCTCTGATCGGTGGCTTTATCATCTTCATTTATTACAAGGCCCGCGAAATAGCAACATGCTGTTTTATTTTCTTATCGACCATTTTTTGTTGCATTCCCTCGCCTTTGGCACCCCATATTTGACTACTCGAATCTTATTTTGTTATGAATCTAACGATTTAAGTAATTAAGGAATTGTTGTTATTTTTTAAAATCTCAGATTCGAGTATCACGTATGCAAGGATATAATCGTTCAACGCTAAATAGTTGGAAGTTTTGGAACATATTTGACTACTCGAACATTTATTTATCCAGACTAAAAAAAAATCACAATTCGACTCACTTGACAATCATTTGAAGCATGGATGGTCTTTAGTATGGGTTGCAGCGGATTAAGATTAAAAAATATTTAAGTTATGAATCCGAATTAAAAATCTTAAATTAAAACTCATACAAAAAGTGTTAATTCCCAATTTGGATCAAGATAAATTCAACAAAGTGTGTTATTCTTGGGTCAAAATTTAAAAAGATTTCATTTGATTAACCTTCACGGATTGGATATATGATCCATTTACAAGAATATTTTAAATCTATAGTCTTGACAGTGCAACCCAAACAAATTTGTTTTCAAAACATGAATTCTTGCATCCACCTTGAATCAAACTGGATCATGATTGGATTTCTTGTTATTCTCTATTCTCTAAATAAGTTTGTAAGTCTTAATTCACAAAGTCTTGTACAAATATGTTCAATCTGGACTTGAATTGTCTTATATTTTAATCTTGTTATTGGATATTGTACGAAGGTCAGTCCATCACGTTTATGATTTGAATTTAACTTTCGATGTTCGTATCCGTTGATGTTAATTGAGACTAAAAATGATATTTATAAAATCTACCTGAGTTATTATAAACTAGCTCAATTTCAAAGAATCGTTTTGGGATAGGGGAGGGGAGGGGGTCTCTAGAAGAATGAAGACAAATGCTTTTATTGAGTTTATAAGCCATGATTTAAGGGAATACGTGAAAACAAAAATGCACAAACTTAATCACCCGATCAAATGTATTTACTCCCGAACTTAAGATTTTTTCTTCTTTTTCATAGAAAGAGAATATACTAAAACAAATAAATTAGGCTTCAATTCCCCCGTAAACCACAATGTCGAACTATTTAATTTTAGGCTTAATACAAAAAAATATTCAAACTATACATTTTTTCTACAGTCGTGCCTAACTTTTTTTTCCAGTCAATCTAGATGTTTAATATTACTAATATTATCATTTTAGGTGTCCTGATCGTAACGGTCGATAAAACTTCATTAAGTGATACGTGTCATATTCTGATAATTTTTTAAATTCTTTAAAAAAACTCAAAAATGTTATTATATTAAAAAAACCCAATATTTTCTAAAATCAGAAGAAGAAGAAGAAGAAGAAAAAGAAGAAGAAGAAGAAGAAAACCTTCAAATCCCTAAAAATCTCTAGAATCAACCCTAAAAACCCTAATCCAATCTTACCATCTTCTTTTCCGACCACAGTCATCATTGGCGCCGCCGCCGCCATTACCGTCTCCCTTTATGATCGTCGACACCCATATCGTCTCTTGTGCCGTCAGGTCCTCTGGGATCGCGAATTGTAAGGATTTTTTATATTATGTTTGTGGATTTAAATCGTGATTGGGGTTTTTTAGTGGCTATTCATTGGTTGCCTATTCGTCGGTTGCCTGTTCATCGGCTTGAAGCCCGATCAAGGGTAGGTTTGTTCGACGGCAACGACGGTGACCAACGTGGGTATAGAGATTAAAGTTATAGATTTTAAAGTTTTGTATTTTTTTAAGATTTGAAGAATATTGAATTTTTTAAATATAATTATTAAGTTTTTAAAAAAATAAAATTACTAAAATGTGGCACGTATCATTTAATGGAGCTTTTTAACTGTCGTTATTATCAGGGTACTTAAAGTGATAACGTTTGTAACGTTAGACACTTAAGATTAACACACACACAAAATTTAGACACCACTTAAAACAAAACGGTACAGTTTGGACAACTTTTTTTTATATAAAGCCTTAATTTTAAGTTGCATCGTTTATATACTCCGAAGACAATGTAAATTGAGTTGTTTTATGAAATCTACAAATTTGAGTGGATAAAATAATTTGGCTTATCAAACTATTAATGTAGAGGTGCTATTAGAGGATAAACCTTGGTAGCTAACGGTGAATATTCCAATCTTAAAAGGGTAAGTTAGTAAAGTAAATGGGTCTTATATTATATATCAGGCAACATCTGAGTCAGAGCGGACTCATCAAGTTGGTGGGACACCAAATCTACTTCCTGGTCTTTATAGCATCAGCCAATTAATATGGAAAAAACTAAAATAATAATGGAGTTTGATTATAAATGATTGACTATATATATTATTATTTGAGTATTTTTAATAGTTTAAAATGAATATAATATAGTATAAGTTTAAAAAAAATTAATTAATTGATAATATATAAATATTCTGAAACTAACTACTTGAGGAAAAATAATATTCTCTTTTACCGTCGAGGATACTTGATAGATTCTATTTAGGGTTTTAGTCATAATTTTAAAATTAACACCCAACGTATACTAAAATAGTCATTTTGATCCTTTTTTTTTGAAGCATTTTTGGCCCTCAAACATTTCATTTTGAGGCAAAAGATCCCTTTATGGATGAGATCATTATCAACACACGATTAATGCTCTAAAATAGAGACACTTTTACTTTAAAATGAAACGCCGAGGGATAAAATGCTCCAATAAAAAAATAAGAGTCAAAGTGAATATTTTGTCAAATATTTGAGGTTTTTTGTATTAAAATGAAACATTAAATACCAAAATATTCTAAAATAAAATAATAGAGGTGAGAATAATTATTTTGATATTATGACATTTTTATATGTTAAGAAAAATAGCAGATTGAATTGGTCAATAGAAACACTAGCGATTAATCAACTTAAATTTGTTTAAGCGATAAAAATTCTAATACATTTAAACAAGTTTTAAGTTTAAGTCATTATATATGCATAAAGTTATTGTCTTCACTCATTAAAATTAAATGTACCATCTAAATAAATTCAAATTAATTAGATCAAAATATTAAAATCGAGAGTACAACCCAAAAAAGTAACCCTGGCGGCTCTTGACATGGGCAATAGGCCTAATAGGGGTAAGGCAGTGGGCAAAGTGAAATTGGCGACGAAAGGCGGATGAGGCTGCGTAAGCGCTTACGTTAAAAGGCCATAATTTCAGGAGTCAGACAACATAGTTTCCGCCATTCTGCGCTTAACCAACCGTGTGGGCCTCTGAGTCTGCCTCGCTTCTTCCTAGCAAAGTCTCATTAGTTTTTGTTTCGCTAATTAATGGAATGCCTATTATGTACAATTGCCTAAAGGAGATTCGTTTTGAATTCGTTTTTTCTATAGTGTCTTGATAAATAAATAAAAACTTCTATATTTATAAATACTCTAATTAGGGTTAGAGTTTCATATATATTAATTTATTAAAAAGTCACGAACTAAATTACTTTAGTGATTAAAAGAATACTTCTTATCTTTAGTTGTTTTAAGTTCGAGCATCAAATATTAGAAGGATGTTTAAACTTTCATTGTCAAACGATTAATAATATTTAGAACATATACTATATTGTAATCACTTTCGATTATAAAATAATTGTTAAAGAGGAATATTAAATTTAAAAATTATAAATTTAAGGTTTTTTTTTTCAATTTTATAAGATAGTTTTAATCTTTCGATGAGTACACAAATGGTCCCTCGATTATAAGGTGTTACTTTGTTGAGTCCTTAGACTATTAAAAGTTAAAAAATAGTCCATTGATTATAGGATGATGCTTCATTGAGTCCCCCGACTATTCATATGTTCCAAACTTGTCATCTGCTGTTAAAAAATTGGTTACCATATGAGCTGGACGTTAATCTATTGATTAAGATATGATAAAAGCTAATCACATAACCGTTTGACATGTATTTTGTGGATCGACTTTATGTTTACATTATGTCATCGAGCTAGTGTTTGAAATATTATCTCATCGAGCTTGTGCTTAAAAGCAACTGTAGTGCTAGTAAAATCATTAAATATGATTTTATCATATCATAGTCAGTGTGTTAACGTTCAACTCATACTACTATCAATTTTTTAACGGAAAGATGAAGAGTTTGAAACATATGAATAGTCGAGTGACCATTTTGTAACTTTTAATTGTCGGAGGTCTTTTATAATTTTTACTTTTTGAAAAAATATTTTAATTTTTTTTAACCAAACACATTTTATGTAGTGCTTTCTACTGTTTAGGAAATTAAAAACGAAAATGACTCCCGGAACAAAACAGAGCAGCAAGAGCCAAGAGCCTACCGTTATGAAATATATCTATTTTGGATACTCCATGTATGATCTATGAGCAAAATTCTTTATAACATATTAAAATGGAAGTCTTTCTTTCACGATGCGACAATTGCGGTATTTTCATGAGCCATCTGACCTTTCATTTTATGAAAAGACTATCTTAGTATTGATAACAATAAACAATGAAATTATTAATATGGTTGGTTAAAAGAATAAGCATCAATTAAGTCAATCTTAAATTTAACGTCTTATATACATATAAATTTTATATTAAGATACTCATCAATTAAAACTAAATGTAAAATGCAAATTAAATCAGAACAAAACGCTTAAAAAACAAAAACAAAATAAAAATAAACGAGGGCCCTAGTCCCAATACCCGATTTTTCAGGAACAATGTTACATTTACTCATTGGATTATGATCCAATTGAGGTTGCACATGATATGACAATTAATAAATATATATATTATTTAAATAAATAATTTTTGAAGCTATAAATATAATACGATGAATGCGTTTTC